CAACGGCAGTAACTCCTCCTCATAGCACCGCTCAAGGATCGTGTAAGATCGCCAAGGGGTACCAGCTCCTTCTGACATGCTCACCAACCTTGCGGTATTAAACATGTGACGCGGTGGAGGAGCAGGAACAACATAAGTGTTCGAGGAATGTTGAATAGCCACTCTCTCTCCAAGATACGTGATCGCTCATTATGTCCCCAAGAAATAGCGACGCTCAGCAGAATACTAAGCGGCTAGCCCAGGGATAGCCAAGTCGATCCACGGTCGGTACAGCACGTCAAGCTCCTGCAAAGAACGTCTATCAGACAAGAATCTATCAAAGGTATCACAAAATCTTCAAATATATAAAGAACCATACCGAGATGATCCTATATCGGACATAAGCAGTGGACATCCCCACACAGAGGCTTCCCCAGGAACCACTCACTAGAAACCTGCGCGGCGACGGTCTCGCCGGCGCAGTTGAGGGAAAGTACTCGTAGAACCAGATCTACAAAACGCAAAAATTATTAGCGAGTGCAAACTAAAGCTTAGAGCTAAACTTTACAGGAGATAAAGTATATCTCTACAACCCTCCAAAAGGTAGATAGAGAAACGTTCCCCGTGAAGGACCGATGTCGACATGAGTCCCGCAACGCTCGGATGAAGTGAGCATAAGCCAAGCTGGCCCAGGCGTAAGTCCCGATCTGGTGTAGATCACGGACAGTAGGAAGGTAGTAAAGCAGCGCTCTACTACCCTTGTCAGGGGAGAACGACCCTAACAGCAAGATGAGTACAAAGATGCGCAATCTGCTGCTCTCGGGTAGTCGCATCGTCATCAAAAGTCGGTGCTAGAGTCGACCGGCAAATCCATCTCGCGCTAAACTGAGTCGACTCCACCTCAGCTCGAGCCCGAACAATAATCGAACCCAACAGCTCCTCGTCCTCGAGAGAAAAGACGTTGATCTTTTCGTCGAGCGGCAGTGCCACAAAGCTAAACTCGAGTCCTGTAATGAGACTGAAGTCGGTCGGGGTGACCATCATCTCACCCCAAGGGAAGTGGAAACTGTTGGTAGTGTCCCAAAAGAACTCCACCAGAGCACGAACCACATGGTGACCCCCGCTAGAGGCAATCATGGCCTCAGAGGTCTCGAAGAGTGCAGTCAGTCCGCAAGACTCGCATAGAAGTCTCGCCTCGACGTCATTGGCGATGTACATCTTGTACAGGTCGCCCAAGGTGTCGCAACTGGAACCATGGCAGCACGTCCTCCCAACTGTGATGCCCCGTCTCACCCTCTCAGAAATGTGGTGGACGGGATAGAAGTACAAGGTCCGCTCATCCCACTCAAGGAGTCGGCCGAGTGAAGTGGACGGATCAGCGTCGTCCTCTACGGGCTCATACTCCCGTCGAACGTCTCGGGACCGCGAACCCGAACCTTTCTATCTAGCTATGCTACATTGCGCAAAATCATCATAAATTAAAGTTCTATAGTATCTAAGGTTCGCCTAGCCGCATGATACTATGTTCGCAAAAAACAGAGTACGTAGTACTAAAACAGAGCACAAATTCAAATTGAGCATACACGGCATTTTTCAAAGCATTAAAATAATTTCTTGCAATACTATAGTAATTATTGTGACAAATTGGACAAGAATTGCTAGCAAAAACGTCAAGAACAAGCCACATTGTCTACCCGACCTTAAGTGGTCCAACAATGGTGATTTGTTCGTTTCTTCACCAAATTGAGTCAAACAAGTCTCAAATTACTCCCAAAGAAATATATAAACATAATCAAGCAATTTCATGGCATAAAATTTGATAAACAAAGAGAATTTAGCAATTTAAATTTCGAATTTTCAAGAAATTTGTAAACAAATACATGCGAAATTCATTAAAACCGGCGTGAGTTTGGAGGAAACTTACATAGATCAGGAAAATGGATGGAATAAGCTTTGATTTGCAACAAATTTGAGCGAATTCGGTTGAGAAACGAGCAAGAACGAGTCAAATGAAGTTCTGAGCAATTCACCGAGCAAAAACGCAAGCAGCAGCAGCGGAAATGAAGAAGAGAAGGATATTTATGGAAAACCCGACTCTAGCGCCAAGCGACAGACCTTGGCGTCAGTTGATATGGCTTATCGTCTGGCGCTAGTACCAGTGTCTGGCGCTACAGCCAAATATGCGACGCTAGCAATATTTCAGCGGCGCCAGACTGTTCAGCCACTTAGTACGGTTATTTCAACCTCTTGCAATATATTTTAGGCTCTTTGGTACGCCAGTTAGCCCCTCTAAGAAATTGGTATGATTTTTAGTAATCGGCTTGATTACAATTACATAAAGTGATCGACCTGATGAGTGATCGTCTCACTTAGCTTAAAACGCCTAAGCATTGGCTCATTACAAAGCACCGACATACTGGTTCATTCAGCAAGGCACCGACATACTGGTTCAAAATTCAGCAAACGGCACTGACATACAGGCTTAAAAGCAGTAAAAACACCGACGTACTGGCATAACGGAAGCAAAGTTCAAGCGAGCTTTTAAAGATCGATAAGCGTAGGTCTTCAGTAATTTTCTTCGGAATGTTATCGCAACAAATGAGGATAGCTTCAAGCAAGGATATCTTCGGCAGCGTTCCCTAGCTTACGGAGAGTTGTCACAAACAACTGGAGGTGATTTTAAGCGAAGTTGTCTTCGATCGTGTTCCCTGGCTTGCGGAAGATGGTCACAAAGTGCTAGAAGGTCGTTTCAAGCAAAGAAATCTTTGATGGGGCTCACTAGCTTGCAGAAGTCTATAATGGCGGAATTGGAGACAGTTACAAGCGTGGCAGTCTTCAGGCAGCATTCTCTAGCTTGCAGGAGGTCGTCAAAAATACAGAAATACAGCAACAAATCGATTACTTTCAGAGACGCGTGCTCGACGGTGCAAGATACGCGTTTCTTAACTCTTTTATCTGTTTAACTAACGCTAGTTTTGCAGGTATTGGCGTTACAAGAATGGTTTAGGATAGCATAACGTTCTGAATCATTCTCCGTCCCTATCGATACTTTGACTTTTGTTTTCAAAACAGGCATTTCTCCAAACTCAGTCAAAGTGGGGGCTTCTGTAGACACCCATTTGTGTCTCCCCAAAACCAAAACCGGTGATGAGTACCTTTCACGTTGAATCATAATCGAATGAAGTGAAAGTGTGGAAGGTGTAGTGTTGCGGATAGTTTTAATTTCTTTTCTTTTCTCTCTGTTTTTTAAAACCTATTTTAAGAAAACAGCCAATCCAGTTTGGTTGGTCCATGATATGGGTCCAATAGTAGTGTAGTTGGATTGGGCTTGAAAAGAGCTTTCCAACGATATATTATAAGCCCAATTCCGATGAATATTGAGGAAGTTATGGTCAAATTACTAAACTGGGCCCGGTTTGAACCTTATATGCGGCCCAATGATCTAGGGGGAGGGCCTAATATGGATTTATCATTCCTAATGCAATTAGGAATGGTTCTAGTCTTCTAGATTCTTCTAGAAGGTTCTTTTCATTCCTAATTCAATTAGCATTGATAAATTGACTTTTGTTGACTTTTTAGAGTTTTAATCAGAATAAAAGACTGTTTTTAGGAAAATACGATTTTATCCTCCTGTACGGTTAAATTCTATCAGGTTTTAGAAAACGCATCAAAAACCTGATTAGCGCCTAACGCCAGCATAAGCGCCTGGCGCTAAGCTTGGCGCCTGGCGCTAGCATTAGCGTCTGGCGCTAATGTCAGCGTTTGGCGCTAACTCCGTTTTTTCACGTCATAACTATGGTTCGATTTTTTATCTTTTTGGCTAATTTTCTCTATAAATAGCTTCCTTAAAACTCCGTCAACAATCATCTACAATCATCAATTCTTATTCTTTCTAATTCTCTTCTCTCTCAAAGCTAAAGCTTTCTTTCTCTCTTTTCTAAACCAACCCCTTTTTACAAAATTCCGCACTTACAAGACCTAGATACACCTAGCATTATTCGAAGTTGTCTTCGCCCTAGAAGTGAAAGGTTTTAATTTATGAGGGTTTGGTCCCAAATCTCTATTTCAATTATTTAATTTAATTGTTTTGTTTATTATTTTCCTTGAAGTTACTAACGTGTGTATTTTGTTATTAGAAAGAGATAAGAGGCATCCAAGTAAGTGCTTTAATTGATTTATTGGTATTATGATCATGCTTAGATTGTTATTATGATTCCTAGTGTTATGTTAGGGCGTTTTGATCTTCTTAATATCTTGTCTAGGGTAACTTTAATATTAAGTATGATTAAAAGTATGATGCCTTTTATATTCTTCCTAATATTTATGATCGTTAGTATCATATTAGCGTTAAAGCTTTGATCTTTATTACTTAGTGACATGCTATGGTTTGTTATTAATCTTGTTAGTATCATGCCTAGGATCTTGCTATTATTATGCTTTAACATGATTATTTTAATTATTATGATTATTATTATTATCATTATGATTACAATCATTATTATGATTATAATTTTATGATGATTTTTATTATTATTTTTATTATTATGTTGCTTGATTTATTGTTATTGCTTGATCACACCTTTTATACTTGTTAAAGGAAATTGGTACTTGTAATCACGCTTAATAAGATAATTAATAATCTTGTTTAAGGTTAATTTGATTATAATTCAAGTAATCGCCAATAATAGGTTTATTTCTGCATTAATATTCAACCAACATAGATTAAACAGGTTTAGGGTTAATCCTATTGATTGCATGTTAGTCAGAAAGTGCACATGAATACGAGAAGAACAAAGTAGAGGCCTATTATTAGGGCAGCTTCAATCTCTTTTAGGCTGGATTTGTACCTTCATCCCCGAACTACCAGTCATGGTTCCAGACCTATTGTAGGTGACGATCTCTTGGATCGTTAAGGGGTGTAACTTTCACCTTGTGAACGGTTTACAAGTTCCTATAACTTGTTGGCGATTCTTTTGCTCTATCTTCTTTCCCTTTGGACGCCACCGTACTTTAGTGTATGATCACAGCGGGGTTCAATATAGAGATAACGCTTGAAATATTCTCTACAATAGGTATACATCCGAAGTTGCCAACAAGGCACAACCAAACAAGCAAGAGTAACAGATCTTGCAAGCATTTACACAATATCTCATGAAGTCATGATAACAACAGAAAAGATTCGGAATACAAAGAAGTAACAAATTTCAAATAATAATAATAATTTTATCACTTTATGTGCCATCAATATCATTACAGTTATAATTGAATTCCCTTAGCACTACTATTCATGTTAACTAGCTTAGCATTCAGACACAAGTTCGATTTAATATAACCAAACTCTTCTAGTTAAAAAAATAAGCAATTAGCTAAATATACCTACTGCCACTAATACAATCAATAACTTTATTGATTTAAAATGCACATCTACTGCCACTGATACATTAAAGCTACGAAAATGAAGCCAAAAAATGGGTGTCCCACTCCCACTTATGAGAAAATCCCTTTGAAAAAACAAAAAAAAAAAAACAGAGGATGAGAATCCTCTATCTCACCTCATCATATACTGCCACTGATACATTAAAGTTGCAACTATCAAATGCACACCTTACCTCGTATAGGCCTAAAGTGTACTGGAAAGACGACGGTTTTGAAGAGGTTTTGTACACACTTCCACAGTCCAAAGGCGGTATTGGATTAGTGCTTAATGATGTAACACAACCAGTTGCTGCTGCTGCTAAGAAACCATACCCTTATAGAAAGTCTGAACCTACTACTACTACTAAAGGGTCAGTACTTGCAGGAGCTGAGGGGTCTGTAAAATCCCAATTCGGCACAGTGGAATTCCGCCCCTCGGCTTTCACACTAACCTCCCGCTCCTCGGCATTGGAATTTTCACCCTTCCCTCTCGCTACAGTTAACCTCCTTTTACTTCCAACCCTCCCTTTCACCAATACACGCAATGGAAAAACCCGAACTCCTCTCATCTCCCCCAAGATCAAAAACCCAAACGAAAGGCAAATCGACGAAATTTGGAACCTACAATCAATCACAGCACACTTCACTAACATCAAACTCCTCCCATCCCCAATCAATTTCACCCTAAAAACCCATACTTTCCCCCCTGAAGCTGAGTACAAAGCCAAATAATTAATCGACCCAGAAATCATAATTTTCATCCCATGACTTACATCCACAATCACACCCAATTTCCTATCAAAGCTAACCCCATTTTGACTACAAAAAACCTGAGGTACATTCACAAATTTCCCATCAAAACCCAACAAATAAAATCTCAAAACAACCCTAGACCCACCATTGTAGGGCCCAACAGTAATTTTAGAGAGCATAATTGTGCAAAAACTACAAATTTTAGAGAGTATAGTCAGATGTGTGCATCAGCTACTCAAAATACATTAAAACTAAATGTCGTATCTTGTCGGGGATGATCATTTGCCTAGTTTCAATTGTCTCAATCATGTAGCGACAAACGTAATATCCACTATCACTAAAGGCAGTAGCTTGACGAGGACACTAATCCAAACCAAAAAAAGGGGGAGGGTTAAATCAAACTCCTAGTTATATATAATGTATTAACATATATTATGTAATAAGCATTGCAAAATTAAATTAAAGATACAAATACCTCTATGCTTAACCATTTAATGTAAGGTTTCTTCTTTATTTTTGTGATATCCTTTCGATGTTCGGTGCTAAAATTGATCATTGCCCTACGTAATTATCAAAATATTAGAGTAATAGTATTGAAATACTTTCATAAAAAGAAGTTAATATGTAACAAAATAAGTAATCTAGCACATACTTGTTGATTATTGTTTGAGCAAATTTGGGAGGTTCATCTTTTACTCGCGCGGGATCTAGCAAATGCACCAAACCAACCCATGGACAAATAACAGCCAACATCCAATGTCCACTATATTGATTAAAACAATATAATTCAAGTGCAATAATGAATGTTTAAAAGGAATTAGAAATAAAACTGATAAAAAATATGTGATAGACTCATATGCACTTACTCCTCATAATACGGGGCAAAGAAGAGCTGATTTTTGTTTTTGCCATCATTACATGAAAATAGCCTAGCTAGATAGTCACATCGGTCATTGTCTTTTTCCACAGTTGGAGCATACGGGGATAGATAGTTGCAATCACAAAATCCATACAACCCTGAGATTCCTTCTGTATGAACAATCTCACTCATATACCTTTCATATCAAATATTTTTTCAAATTTATTAGCTCATTAATCAAAAAGCGTTATAAATTTAACCTAGAAATGGCAAAGGATACAACACTTACATCATTAAAATTGACATGTGTGACGATTATATCTCTCTTTGGAAGCACCAGTTAAGCATGTCTTCATAATCAAGGGTAACACATTGCTCATTTTGAAACACTCTAGCCAAAACTGTACAAGATTTGGTTTTACCGCTCGTTTTAATTGCAATAGCCACATCCTTAAATACTCGAACCAAATTAGAAGTCAACTTCAACTTATCAGCATGAGTTATTGTGTACTTTCGAGTGCATGATGATTGTGATGATGGCGAGTGTGGAGATGGTGCAGCGATTTCTTTAGGGACTTGCTTATCAGCCTTGTCATATAATCACAAGAAAAAAAAAAAAAAAAGATGATCGTATTATATAATGTGACAGATGATTATAATTTAAAACTGAATTTTACCTTCTTTATAGAAAAACCAAGTGAGAAGGCTATATTAAATAATAATTTAAAGTTTGACAAATGAATCTTATCTCCCCTTAAAGACATGGCAGAAGTGCATTTGGGTTGATTTCTTCTTTAACACAAACTCGACAATGACCACTTGGGACGGGCTTGAAATGATGCTTGACAACTTCTCCTTCTATCCCAATATACACTTCTCCAATATCAACTATATCGACCCCTTTGTCACTCTTAATTGCCAAGGAACAAAGACTATCAACTCCCTAAATATGGATTATGGTATAAATAAACCTTTTGTGGATTGACAAGATGTAGTAGTCTATAATGTAACACCATTAGAAGAATATAGGATATATGTACTTACATCAAACACATAAGTATTAGGAAATAATGTTACCTATGGAAATGGTTGGCCAGTAATGTCTTGTTCATTATTGAGTACATTCTGGCACATATCCCTCCTTAGGCCACGCAACATGGTATGGCTCGGGTTGAACCTCAAATGCTTCAACATTCTTCTCTTGGAAGTTGAAACCTCGAACCCCTTGGTCACCTTCAGAGCCAAAGACATCTAAATGATCATCTAACTGTTCACCACCAAAACCACCCTTTTGGAAACTTGCTAACTGATGGGTAACTTTGTTTTGTTCTGAGGCAAGTTGGAAGCAAAGACCTTGAAGCCAACTGTCACGACCCAAACCAAGGCCATCTAAACCTTGGCCACTAGATCCACCAGCTTGAATACCTGCTAACTGGTGGCCAACTTGGTTAGCATTTGAATCACCAAGTTCTTTTAATTGCTCCGCGTTAACCAGACCACTTGACATTAAGTAAGACAACAAGAAATTTTGTGTGTTAACCACATTTTCTAATTTTGATTTGAGACACTTAAGATATGATTGCAATTGACTTTGTGGTGTTGGTTTGTTGTAACCAAAGTACAACTTATCTGTAACACCCGACCCAACGCCCCTAACACAACCACCATGTTCAGGATTCTGTAATGCTCTCGCTGGGATATCATTCCGGCCAGTGGCCTCAATTTCTCCTTGGATTTTTTTGAGCCTCCAATGCCTTCTGACATCAATAATAAGCAACCTAATTAAGGCAGTGTAATCTATTATAGCCAAATAATTTATTTGATTAAAAAGTAGAAACAAACTCACAATTGTTTGAGCTATTTCAAAATCAGCAGGATTGTCAAAGGTCATTGCACCATCTTTTTGTCTAGAATGAGCTCTTATCCAAACCAAATGTCGAGGCACGTCTCTAACTTTCACTCCTTGTTTATGAAGTTCAGCAGCCTGACAATACAGATAACACAATGCCATTTAACAACTAAAAGTCATCCCTTAATTGATTATTTAATGTTATTCCTTAAAAAAATCAACAAAAAATAGAAAATAATCATTTCTAAACTTACAATCTCTTGTTCATAATACAAGTACCCTTTTGACCTCCTCGATAGCTTGAAGTATTCATTTTCGCCCTCTCTCAATTCTTGTCACTTAGTTCCTTTCAATATAATAATGTACAAACAATTAATTCCCAGTTCTCAAAGGTTTTTTCACAACTATGATTAGCTATAGGCTGTAATTCAAAGATTACCTTAAACGCATCATCAGTATATGTTTCAATGAATTTGGTCTAATCAGCTTGTGTTATAAATGGATATATCAAAGGTGGCTTCTTTATAATCACATTTGGATTTACTCCCTTAGTGTCGTACATCCAATCCTTTCTTAATCTGGCCTTGAAAGCTCTCTAGCGGATTGAAGCTCTCCCTAATACATAATTTCTACGTTCTTCCAGCACTATAAATCCTCTCTACACAATTCAAATAAAAGATATCAGATATAACAATACTGAAATTCATATATCAAAACATTACCTAAGTTCGAATAAACAAGCTTTTGTGAGGCTTGATCATTCTCTGGAAGCCACACTGCAATCTTGCTTTTTTTTAATTTAGGAACCCCATCAAGGCAGAAATTATATAGATAAATCAGAAATAGCTACATCAATAATATCATCAATGATGAAATGGAAAGAACTAGAATTTCATCAATGATTATTTTCATCAGCCCAGCCTCTCTAGCAAGATGTAAACCCCACCAGATAGCTTTGCTTTAGCTTCAGCAGCCTTTAGTTCCCACCTATCACAACACTGGACAACAGAGAAAACTGCAGCCTGCTGCTTGTTCCCAACATGCGTATGCACAATATCCTCCTATACTTCTTTACATATAAGCATACAAGTGGGATGAACACAAACAAGCACAGTAATACTTCACTCTGTGAGTTAGAACATCATATAAGCATACAAGTGGGATGAACACAAACAAACACAAACAGATGCTCTAAAATTGCTTGCCATGCATAAAAGGCATGTTCCTCGTGTTGCTGCTACAATTGGAGCATGGATGAATATATTTCAGGCAAGCTTTCGAATTGTCAATCTTTTTTGTGCTTACTGCAATTATGCATCCCCTTTAACATGTTTTTTGGTATTAAGTACTCATATTAAAGACAACAACTTTCTAGATTAGAGGAGCTAGTGAAGCTGAAGTTGGTGAAAAGAAGGATAGAGTTACAGATGCTCTAATTTCCTATTCATAAGGGACATCCACAACTTGCAGCCAAAAGTTAAGTGTCGTAATTATTCCAAAGTCTGTCGTATTTTGACTCTAGTCTCTATGTATTAGCCTCACCCATGAAATTCAATATTTTGAGAAGAATAAACTTGCACCGTTAATCAATCCTCAATTTATATATATTCATAAAATCACATTTACTGCAGTAAAGCAGCATAAAAGTTGGAGTAATAAAATCCGTAACTTCATATGCTAAAGCAAGAAACAAAACCAACATTTTCTTTCAATTGAAACGGCTAAAATCCTAACACTTAAACATCACTAATTTACTAAGATTATGTAATAATCACTTTAGGGTTGCATCTGAAAGCTGCAAGCCTGAAACCACAAAAGATATGTCTTTCTATCCAAAAGTTGGTCTAGCTTATGGGGTCTACAGCCACTTTAACATACAATTTTGAATCAAAGAAGTCAAGAAGAAGCTTTAATTTAGTTAGTCTAAAACGGTTGCCTCTTTAGTAAAAAAATGTCAGTTTGCCCAATCAATTTTTTTCCTCATTACCATCAAAACATTGTTCCATAGCCTAATTGGTTAAATCTCCAATATTAATTAATGACAATTTGCATTCATAAAAAGCAAAAACCAGACAATTATGGGGGACAGAGTGATTAATGAAGGATACAATACAGGACAGTCAAAACAAAGTTGGGCTAACATTTAAACTCTCAGACATTCAGCACCTGCTAAAGACTATTTGATTTGCATAAACCTCATCACATATAATCTATTTCAAAATCCCTAGCATAAATTAAGTACTTATATTTTATTAACAGCTGAAAATCATAAATTTGACAGCAAAGTTGTCAGGATGAATGCATTGTGATAATGATAACTGATTTATTTTTTTTATTGGACTAAATGCAAATAAGTTGAGGAATGAAACGGATAGAACTTTATTTTATTAACTCAATCTGTCACATAATTCTGCAACCAACTCATGATCATGGAACTAATCAAAAAGCCTTTACATATTGAAGAAAGTTCACCAAATATGACTTTTCAGGTAAATCAAGAACACAATGCTACTACTTGGTACCATTCATATTTGTTTTCTATTGACTTCACTGCAGCTTGATTATTACTTAAGGAAACTGTTAAAACATATGCATATGAGTTAAACATAAAACAGTACAAAAAAACTGAAAATTATGCCTTTTTCCTATGGTAATTATTCATGTTTCATTTGGGATAAAATAGATGCCACTGCCAAATCTGCCACGACTCGTGAGTATCAACGTTTTATTTTCATGTATGTATGTATAGGCATGCTCTGAAGCATATGCAACAAGGGTCCAGCATCATTAACACAACATCAGTTCTTGCATATAAAGGGAGTCCAACAATGCTGGACTACACCTCTAACTCATGATCATGGAACTAATAAAAAAGCCTTTAATCTTACCGTAATGAATTTAAAGAGGTCATCAATAACTTCTTTCGGAACTTCCTCCCAGTCTCGATAATTGATATTCACTCTTTCACGAACAACTACACCAATGTATGATGAAAAGATATATCTATTTTCCCCAATTGGCACTTTATTGTGATTCCATTCCAAGGGGATTTTGACGCCACTCAGAATTGCTTTTCGAACTACTACAACTACTATACGACCCCTTCAATTCTCACACTCAACGGATTCTTCAGCCTCGCCAGTTTTAGAGGCCTCATTAGCACTTGCTTGCTTTCTCTTTTTCGACATCAACCTGCAAACATACAAATATATTAGAAATCATCTCTAAGAAGTGTCATTAAAATCAAATAAAATAAAGCATTTGTCTATTATTAATATCAAGAACAAATTATAAATTTCAATACAAGAACCACAAGAATCAGAATTTTTAGTAGCATAATAACCTGTACGACGCCGCTTTTTAGGTCGATTATTAGCATTACTATTTTCATTGTCATGCCAAATCCCTTCTTCATGATCACTACGTATATATGTTGTTGTATCATCAAGACTATCATCCATATTTTGTACCTCACTTGGGGTAGACCTCTCCTCATAAGAAATATTGTCATCATTGTCATCAATGACATATCGAGATTTTGATGTGACAACAACTGATTTTCTTTTATCACACGGGTCAGTAACATAAAACACTTGTTTAGCTTGACTAGCCAAAATGTATGGGTCTTTTGTATGACCTATCATGTTGAGATTCATAATAGTATGCCCTAAACCATTGCATACAACATTGTTATTATTGTCAGCCCATTTGCAACCAAAAATAGGTATCGAAAAACCCATATAATGCAACTCACATATCTCTTCAATTACCCCATAGTATTGCATTTTGCTATAAACAAGTCGATTATCTTTAACACTAGACAAATGCATCGCTTCCGCTTCAACACATACCCCGCTGTTTTGCATAGTGCTTTTATCATCTTGGTCCCTAGTATAAAAAGTGTAGCCATTAATGGCATAACCAGAGAAAAATGAGGCAGAGAAATCAGGACCATTAGCTAAACTCCTAAGTCGGTCAGAAATAGTTTGTGGGGAATTTTTGATCTCTTTCATTACTTGATCCTTGAGCCAAAGATGAAATGTTTTACTTTGTTCAGTAGCCAAAGCTTTGGAGGTAGCCTTTCGATTATGCATCTTCAAAAAAGTCATATGTCTATTAATATACGGTGCAATTTCATCTTCATTGGAAATAATATATGTGTGGGCCATGTGCCACTTTTCAGGAGACAAGTAAAATTATCTACGACCTATGGTTCCCTTACCCTCAAGTGTGTCACTGTGTCGAGAAGTAGAAATCCATATTGTCCTCATATCTCCTAAACTTTCAAGGCAGTATTCCATAGCTAACTCATAAAGCATTCTATCAGCGATACAAGCCTCTGGTCTATACGCATTCTTAACATAACCCTTATAAGATTTCATTTGTCTTTCAATGGCCCATTGAGCTCTATTGTGCACGGGACCACAAAATCTAATCTCCCTTACCAAATGAACGGGCTCATTACATCAAAAAAAGCCAGGGGAAAGTACATCTCGAATTGACACAAAATTACAGCAATTTCAGTTTATAAGGAATCCAAATCTTTTGGATTGATGACTTTACTGTAGATTACCTTAAAGAAAAGACATAACCTGATAATGGCATATCGTACATTTTTTGGCAAAATTGAACGAATAGCAATAGGTAAGAGATCTTGCATAAGAACATGGCAGTCATGAGACTTCAAACCCACGAGTTTCAAATTCTCCATTGAAACAAGAGAGGAAATGCTTGAAGAATAACCCTCAGGCACTTTAACTCCGGCTAAGGATGCACAAAGCTCAACTTTCTCCTTCTGAGACAGTGTATAAGCAGCAGGTGGAAAATAGTCCCGTTTTCCAGTCTCAACGGCATGGAGCTCATTTCTCATATTCATTTCCTTCAAGTCAAGTCGAGCATTGACACCGTCTTTTGTCTTCCCAGAGATATTCAATAGTGTGCCAATCAAACTATCAAATACATTCTTGTACCCTTTCTTAGGAATGGAATCTTTATTTATTTTTTTTTTTTAACATGCCAAAAGTAAGTTGAATGTCTTTCACCTTTTCAAATACTTCTTGGCTAGTAAAGACTTTTGGGCGAATTTCAAAATTTTGTTCCCCATTAAAAGCTTTCTTCATTCGACGATACTTATGATCCAAAGGAAGAAATGGACGATGATCATAGTAGACAGTCTTTCTAGATGCCGATAACCATTTACCTTTCCAACCATCTTCACATATAGGACAACCACCTTCCCCTTTTAAAGAATAGCCAGAAAGATTACCATATGCTGGATAATCTTGTATGGTGCAAAATAACATTGCTCTTAAATTGAACATTTCATTCCGATTAGCATCAAACACTTCTACACCTTCTTCCCACAACAACTTTAAGTCGTCTATGAGAGTTGCCAAATACACATCGATGTCATTTCCTGGTTGAATAAGCTTTGAAAACATAATGTACTTTCTTTTCATGCATAATGAAGGAGGTAAGTTATAAGCCACTAGCATGACCGACCATGTACTATGGATGCTACTAAGGGAACTATATGGATTCATACCATCAGTAGACAACCCAAGGCGTAGGTTTTGTTCTTCACTACCAAATTCAGGGAATTGTCCATCAATAAATCTCCATTGCGGTGAGTCATCCGGGTGTCTAAGTAACCCATCCTTTTTCCGACCAAATTTATGCCATGTCAACTTCTCTGCATCTACTGGGTCTGAATACATCCGTTTAAACCTAGAAATAATTGGAAAATACCGCAAAACCTTAGCTGGCACTCCTTCCTTTTTCTTGTACCTTGAGAGATTACACTCTGGGCAAATCTTTGCTAATTCATTTTCATTTCGATAAAGTATGCAATCGTTAGGACACGCATGAATTTTTTCATAACGCAAACCCATTGTGCATAATGTTTTTTTTTCCCTGTATGTATTCTTTGGCAAAACATTATCAGATGGAAGGACATCTATCAAGAACTTAAGTAATGCTGTAAAACTCTTATCTGTCCAACTATGACCCACCTTCAAACTGTATATCTTAAGTGAAGCTGATAGCTTTGTGTACTTACACCCTTCATATAAAGGCTTCTCAGAATCACTCAACATTTCTTCCATCGCATTGAGATCATCATCTACTCTGTGTACGAATTGACTCGTCATGTCCTCTAATTTGTTACCCTCATCGGTATTATGGCCTTGAGCATCCTTGCTTGAAAATTCTTCCCTTTTCTCACCATGACGATGCCAGCAAAAATATGTTCTATCAAATTGCCTTTTACTCAAATGATTAAGTATCACATCAGCTTTGTGATACATAAGATTATGGCAGATGTAACAAGGACATGGCAATTTATCACGCCCTTCACTATTATTTTCCAAAGCGAATTTAATAAATTCCATAACTCCAACTTCATATTCTGGATCCCCTAATTTTTTTGTGGTTATCCAAGTTCGGTCCATTTCTACAAACTAGAAAGTTAAAAATAAAAATAAACTCACACAAGTCACAAAGATAACTGCTATAGAATTATGGATATAATTTTAACATACACTACAATAGTTAATGCCTACAACAATGTAAATAAAAACAACCTAATAAACTCACTTTTACATGTAAATAACAATTTATTTAAGCTCTATAATTACTAAAGTATAAGATGTTGGTTGATTTAATGATGAACATATGCTATTTTTCTTGTACATGATAACATAATCACTAGATTAATAGCTGTTATTCTGGACTTTTCATGCAATCTTGACACCTTGGTCTTTCATTAGATCTCTAATTTATTATTTGTCTTGTATGATGATGGAGCCTTTTCTTATTTGGGTCTAAATTGAATATGTTCAACTTACATTCTACTGACAGTACCTCTGTCCTGGACTGTATTCTGCAATGCATCCAGTAACACAACGAAGTAGGAATTGTGGAAATAAATGTAAAATTTGTCTACAACTGAATATTGAGTAATTGTATTGTCGTGTCTTGAGCTGAAAACTGTCATATTGAAGCTTTAGGCCCAAGAAAAGTAGATATTTACTGCATTTGCCGTTTATTTATAAACTCTACATAAAACAATCCTAGTAAATTAGATTATTAGTACAAGGGAAGATGAGTATGTAAATTTTCATAATTTTCAAGGAAGGTTGAGGGTATTTGAAATTAATAGAGCACAATTCAATAGTCCAGTGGTAATCAATTTCCCCTACCCCTTCTTTATCTGATTAGGGTTCTAAATTGAACTTAGGTAAGATTAATTTGGCTAAAATTATTTTTATTACTATTGAAATAAATGTAATTCGACAAAATTAAGGGTAATTTGATTGAACTTACCACAATTCAACTGAAATATTTGCATACAAACAATCGATTGAATTTAACCTTAAAACTAGAACTTTGAAGTTTTTTTTTTCAATCACCTAAAATTCAAATTGCAAATTAATTTAATAGATGAAAACTATTAATTTAATTATGTTTCCTTTATATTTCGAATGATGCATGCAGTTCAATTGACAAATAATCAAAATTCAATTACTCTATAACAAGATTCGAACCTACCTCAGAGGAGTGGTGCAATGCTTACAAGTTGTGCGGCGATCGGTGGTGCGGCAGTGGAGCGGTGCGGCGAACAGTCAGCGACAAAAGGATAGTGGTGGAGGTTTCACGAAAGCAATAAACAAGCAGTTCAAATTTTTTTTTTAAGGTATAGTTAGAGTTAGGGGTGTACACCGGTCCAAAACCGGACCGGACCTGGACCGGACCTGTTTGGAACGGGGACCTGAATTGGGTAATTATGAGGACCGGGGACCGGACCTGAATTAACAGGTCCGGTTTCGGGCCAGACCTGAAAAATCAGGTCCGGTCCGGGTTTGGACCTGAATGGACCTGTTTTGTGTCTTTTTCGTTTTTTTTTTTTAATACAAAACCTGTTGGACCTGCATATGGACCTATTTTGTGATTTTTAGACCTGTTGCATAATTTAATAATTACATACAAACCAAAATTATCAATTACAAAACTACATAAAGTCTATAAAGTCCCGATTCTCAAACACCAAAAATACAAATGAGTCCACCGAAAATACAAATAAGTCCACGAAAACTCAGTTTCAATTTTTCAGAGTTTGGTTTTCTTCTTTTTTTTTTTTTTAATTACGATTTTCCCGGGTTTCAAGTCCGGACCTGAAAACCCCGGGTTTGGACCGGGTCCGGACCGGGACCGGGAACCTGGATTTTTAAGAACCGGGACCGGACCTGAATCAACAGGTCCGGGTCAGGTCCGGTCTGGTTCAGGTCGGTTCAGGTCCGGTTTCAGGTCCGGGCCAATTTTTGTACACCCCTAGTTAGAGTGAAAGTGATAAAAGAATGTGAAAGTGAAAGTGATAAGAGGAGAGCGCGCTATTCAATTCATTTTAGCCGCCTTTAATTAATTTGGGCAAATTATTACTATGTATATTTTTTCCTCCTAATAATTAAAAAAACAATTAATTAATACAATACAAAACGGTTGTTAAGATGACCGTTCTATATCATCTATAATAATTAATTATTTTTTAAAGATATTTCAGAGTAAAAAAATAGAGAACGGTTAACTATGCTAACCGTTTCATATGTATTTACATACAGAATGCCTTTTATATAAATACGTTCTATATTCTTCTGGAGAACACCTATCTTTGGTAACCGTTCTATATTTTGCGATCTCTAATCTAGTTTTTGGTGTAGTGCAGTTGACACGTGGCAGCCTCAGATACATCAAAACAATTGCAGCCTTCAAGGCCCAATTCCCAAGAAAGCCGTAATTGCGGCGCAACCCACAAAACCTAGGTCAGAGTGACCTAGGGAGGGGCACTTTTCCAAAGTGACCCTATAAATAGGGAGATATTTCCCCATTTTAGGGACACATTCAATCATTTATTACACCCATTTTCTCTCTCATCAAAGAACACCTGATCTCGGAATCTGAGAAGATCTTATCTAAATTTCCGCACATTTTCCTCTTATTCAAGTTCTAACTTGATCTTTGGAGGCGGAGCTCCTACCACCAGGAGTCTCCGTTGTTTTTACAGGTACAACTCGAGTCGGACCAATCTTCGAGCCGTAACTCTCCCGAGGGACAAAAACACCCAAAACAACACCTTCCTTCCCCTACTGCCTTCTTTACCTTAACCCATCCAGAAGCTGCGCTAATAATGCCAAAGCCCTTCTGTCTCCCATACCTCACGAAATAGCTACCTACTTCTTCCCAGCTGCCAAATACCATACGCACAGTAGGGGGTGGTACTTCCTCTTCTTCACCAAAGACAATGTTCACCATACCCCTTGTCTTCATAGGGGTAATATAAGATGAACCCCCTTCCCCTGCATCATCTAGTGCAACCTCTCCATCCATCATCCTCTCCATTAGATTTTCACCCTCCTCTACTCCCTTATATTCTGATCCCTCATCTACTCCCTCATCTTTAGTTTCACCTTCCCCATAATTATCACCACTCTCCATCACCATCTACATCCCCACATATATTAAAATGCTCCTCTTCCCCATTTCCATCATCATATTCATCTCCAACACCCCCACTCTACACCAAAAATATTCACATAATTCATAAAAAACCCAAACACATAAACAATTATAAACCAAATTGCAGGGGAAAGAAATCAGCTTCCATAACAATGCCTAATATATTAGGAAGCATAACAAAGTACACCAAATTATGCAACAAATGAATTTAATCATAACCATAAAAAACCACACACTACCATCATAATTCTTATTATGCTTAATAAACGCAAACCCATATTCATCCTAAACCACAATTACCTAAACCCAGATTAATTTCATTTCTCATAATAACCATCATAATCTATCTATTAACTATTACTAAAACAGAAGTTGTTGACGTCATCATTGCACACGTGTCGCTCTCTTAATAAAAAATTTCCGGCCTAATGCAATGATGATATCATTTTTTTTTCTTTTTTTTTTTGCTATCATATTTTACATTTTTGACATTTAAATATTAAAAGCTTCTACTATACATTACAACTAAAACCTATCAATTTTTATCATTGAAAATTTAAACAATTTTGAATAGCACACTAATATATGACCTCCTACATTGAACTATGAATTAGACAATGTTGATCACTATATCATAATTTTGATGAAAATAAAAAAATTTAAAATTACAAAATGTACGTAATTCTTATTATATTTATGTACAATAGTGATTTATTTTTAAAATTTACAAATTAAAAATAGGTTATATGTAAACCATGCATCACATGGGTTTTAATCTAGTTCAAACTAAAACAACAATTATCCAAAGGCAAATTAATTTTTCATATTCAGATTGCACATTTAACACCAAACAAACGGCAAAAACGCAAACAACTCTACCATTCCCTTCTCCCCTAATATTATTAGACCATCATCACTCATGGTATAAAAATTTATACCACCCCTCTCTCTCTACCACTTTCTCACTCATCCACATCATCTATATCACAATACAATATACTTTCTCCAAAAATCACCCCACCCATGGTATAAAAAAAGTTTACCAACACACTTTCTCTCTCCTATATGTATGAATTATACACTTAATTAAATTATAATTATATTTTGTTTTATTTTGAAAATAACTAATCATATAACTAATATATAAAGCTAAACTTTTAGCCAGGTCACGAAATAGCGACACTTGGCATTCCAATTTTTCGCCAAGTGTCGCGCCACCTTGGATAGATTTAAATAGACTTCATATGATAAAAAAAAACCGTCAAGTGTCGCGCCACCTTGGATAGATTTCATAAGATAAATAAAATTAGGTAAGAATTCTATTTTCAATCAAATATGATAGAATTTTAGAATAAAATTATTAGTTTAGAGTTATTTCTTCGATAAAATACCAAATAATAAATTTATAATGGAAAATTGCTCCCATTAATCTGAACTTTGCCTCATCCGCCGAAATTAATCCCAACTTCCGTTTATTATCTATCACTCCCAACTTTAGGGGGTATTAATTTCTATTGCACCCAACAAGTCACCCAACCTGATGTAGTAGGTTACCTAGACACGTGTCAGCATATGATTCACTTAAAAAATAAAAATTAAAATTAAAATTAAAATAAATAAATAAAGTTAAAAAAAATAAATTAAATAAAAACAAACACCTTCTCTCTCCTCCCTTCTCCCCCTGCCCTCTCTGCTTCCTCCCCACATCCCTACCCTCACGGCCACCCGCAATCAGCCGGCGGCAGCACTACCTCCCTTCCCCCACCTCCGTATCGCCGCCTCCCAGCCCACCTCCCCGCTTCCCCTTCCCCTTGCGCACTTCACACACGTACTTCACCACCCTCCCTGCTTCCCTTTCCCTGCAACTCCACCAACTTCCCGTTGCAACCACGACCACCAGCAACAACCTTGCAAACCACCTCCCCTTTCCTCTTAGATCACCTTGCAAACCACTAAAAATCCCCCAAATCCTAACCCATAACCCTAACATTCGAAACACTACAAAAACGGCAACGAAATCAGCCACCAATGGCCGAAATCGGCCGATAAAGGGTTGAAATCAACCATTCAGGCCCATTATCGACTGATTTCGGCCATTTATGGCCAATTTTTGTGGTCGATTTTGGGGAAGGGGGTTGTTTTATGGTGGGGAAACAGTCGTGCGATGGTGCGGTGGTGGTTGGCCATTTTCGGCTATTGTGGTGGTCGATTTGATGAGGGGGTTGTGATGGGTTTTCGGTTGTGGTGGGTGAAGAGAGTGCGTGTGGTGGCTGGTGGTGAAGGGAGTGCGTGTGGTGGCTTGCTGCTGGGCTGCGTGAGGGGAGAGTGTGCGCTGGTGGTGGTGGTGCGGTGGTGGAGGTGGGGCAAGTGCTGGATTAGTTTTAGGAAATAATTTTTTTTTTTGTTTTCATTTTTTTTTATTTTCTTTTTTTTCCAACCAATTACATATTGACACGTGTGCAAAAAAATTTAATTAACAAATGTTAACCTGATTAACCGGTTTCAGGTAAATTGGGTGCAATAGAAATTAATACCCCCTAAAGTTGGGAGTGATAGATAATAATCCAAAGTTCGGATTAATTTCGGTGGACGAGGCAAAGTTCTGATTAATGGGAGCGATTTTTCCATTTATAATTAGGCCACAAGACAACATTATTTAGCGTTTTAATTTTTTTGCCAAGTATCGTACCACGTTGGATAAATATAGATTGACTTTCTAGCAAAAAAAAATTAATTTAGAATTCTATTTTCAATCAAATTGAATTATAATCGTATAATTTTATCTTAAAAGTCCAAAAACTACCTGGGCATCGCCGGGACACAAAACTAGTTACTATTTATAACGTTAATTAAATAAAAATAAGCAATTTAGGTATAAAAAAAAAGTGAATTTCAAAAATATATAAAACTATATCAATAAGGGTGTCTATGTGTATGTCTTGAAAAATTATGAACAATGGTAATTTTTTCATAATTTTTGACTTTATAACTTTTTCTTAAAATGCAATTGGAAAAAAATAAATAAAAGATGTATGACAACCAGGCCACATGGCGTGACCTGGTTGGTTCATGTTTCATGTGGAACGAAACAAAAGTTTACCATGTGATGATATATACCATTTGATGGTATAGTTTTATGCCACCAAGGTAGTAAAAATTTGCAACTTTTGAATTAATATTTATGAAAAAATTATACAAAGAGTGCTGATGCTCTTACCCATTATGAACAATTCACCGAAAACCTAACCAGTTTAATAATTACACAAATTGAGCTACAACAACATCAAATTAACATACAATTGTAACTTACATTGTCACTATTATCGAACCTCAGCTCCCTCGCACATACAAGTCCATCTTCCCGCAGTGCGTCTGCCAAATCCACCCCCAATATTTCTGTTAATCGATTTTTGCATTATAAATTATTGTTCCCAATTTCAATAAATTCACCTTAAACAATGCTATGCGTTTCACCTCCCTCCTCCTTAAACTCATCCATTCTTCAACTCCTCAGAAATATTTTTATTTTATTTTTTTTATTTTTTTGGGTTCAACAGGGAAAGTGGGTTTAATGAATATTCGTTTTCCCGTTACATTTTGCACTCCTCATTATACACTTAAGAGCCCGTTGTACCACCTGGACTCATTTGGCCCATGCACGGGTACGGCAGTCTTTGGCCGTTTCCCGTACCGGGGACGTATCGGGTACGGGTATGGCTCGGATACGTCCCCAAGGCGTCCCCTTAGTTTTGGGTACGGCGTGGCTTTTTGGATACGGCTGATGGTAGTTTTGGGGACGTTTCAGGGATGTTTGGTCAAGATTTTGACGTCCCCAAAGCAAATCAAGCCCATCCCATTAAAAAAAACCCTTTAAACTTACCTGATGAACGAATAAACTGAACCCCAATATTGAAGGAGAGTAGAAGGAAGCAGATCAGCCGACATCGGTGACCGGAGATCACCTGCGACCCACTCCGATATTGGAGACCGGTGAAGCTTCCCATTTAGCTGGAAGTTCTACCTTCTACTTGTACTTCTACTGTTCATGAGTTTTTTTTTTTACTTCTCAGTTCTCAACTTCTCACTTTCCCTATCTTCGATTCTTGAGCTGTAAAGTCCTTTTTTTTGTTTTTAGTTTAATTTTTTTCTTTTATTGGCTATGTGATTCATTTTGTTAATCAGTTTTTTTTCTTCCCTTTTTTAAGTTTTAAATTTGCCCCTGTAGCAGGCAGTAGGACTGTAGATTGTAGGTTCTAAGCTGGTGACTTCGTGTTTGGTTTTGTTTTACTTTTAATTTGTGTTGTATGGATTAATTATTTTTGTTTTTGAAATATTTTAAGGATTTATCTATATTTAGCTAAAAAAATTTTGTCGTATATATGCCGTACCCGTTTTTTGAAATTTTGATTTTGCCGTATCCTGTCCCCGTACCCGTACCCGTTCCCGTTTTTGTCTCTGTATCCGTTTCCGTGCAACATAATTGTCTCCGTTTCCAATTTCAACATATTAACATACTGCCATCCTATATGCTTCTTGGCATATAGCAGCTATGCGCTAAGCCTTATTAAGAATAACTATAGGCGCATAGTCCCTATTGATTTGCAAGTATATAGGATGGCAAAGTTGATAATAAGTGGAACTTTATCACTATTGAGTGGGGCCTGAAAGTGCCAATTGGGATTCAAAGGCAACAGGAGTATGAGAAAAAATAACGGGGGGTGAATTTTGAAGCGGGAAACCAAATTTACCCCACTCCCCAAAAGAGTTACTTTTTGCAAAAGAGAAAAACTCAGCAGCTTTACAAAGCTTCAATAGTGTGTTCCGCCATGAACACCTAATCTCAAACGATTCTTATAGCTAACTAAACCAAATTTAAGTTATTTTCTGAATCCGGACTACATTTTGACAATGGGAAACCATTTAGTTGATATATTGGGAGTTGACTTAGCGGAAGCAATGCGGGAAGAAGAAGGTCATGGTTGCGTAAGGAGGGAGTTGCGTTTTGATAGTGAGAATGTAAGTTTCGAAACCCTATGTATATTGATGCGTTGCATGAGGTTTTTTTTTTAACTTAGCAATTTAATGAGTGAATTAGTACAATTAACACAGTTCAATTGAATTAGCTGAAAAGTTAGGGTTATTTTGGGGTAATTCGAATTACATAGTTGTTGATATTGAATGTGACAGTGCTTAAATTAGGTGGCATATTGTTTAAATGTAAGTCATTTTTGGAGCAATTGATGTTGGTATTGCAAGTCACTTTTGGAGCAATTGATGCTGGTATTGTTAAATTTTTTATTGTAACTCGATTAATTGATTTGGGCGTGGTTAATATGTGTGTTGGGATGGTTGATTTGTGTGTTGTGTATGTTGAAATTTGGAGTTGCTTGAAATTAATATTAACATTTGTTGTTAAAATTTGAAACTAAAAATTGGAAAATGGTTGTTCTGTTTGAAGCTTTGTTTATGCTTGAAATTGAAATTGATGTGTATAATTTAGAGGTTGTTCTTAGTTACTTGTGGTGGTGTTGTGTATATGATTGTTTTATGTGTGTCATTGTTTTAGGGTGGTGTTGGTGGTGATGATGATGATGATGATGATGTTGTATGTGGTAATGAGGAGGGATTTCAGAGTGAGCTTGGTTTTAGTGAAGGGGATGAGGAGGAAATTGAAGAGGGATCAGAAGATGATGGAGATGAATGGGGGTCTGATAGTGAGGGAGAGAAAGGGTGGTGAAGATGGAGGTGCAGGAGCAGGAAGTTCTACTTTCATAACCCCGAAGAAGAACCCCGTACTGGTTAGCACAGTATTTGGTGTGGAAGAGGAAGTAACAGCCCCGAGTGTGGGTATGGTATTTGGTATTTGGGATGAGGTTGATAGTTATTTTTGGAGTTATGCTAGGCAAAAGGGGTTTGGTATAGTGAGGGCTGCTGTTGGGTTTGGCAAGGTGAAGAGTGATTTGGGGGATGGAATGTTTTGTAAGCAGAAGACCCTCCAGGAAGCGTAAAGTGGATGTACTTAAGGAAGGGTTGTTGCATGATGAGGAAACAGTTGTGAAACGGAAGACGAAAAAGTGTGGGTGTAAGGTCGAGTTGTATGCTAGTGTTGATGAGGGAGGGAATTGGGTTGTTCGTAGGGTACACTTAAAACACAAAGGTCACATAGTCACACCGGGGAAGTCAAAGGATATAACAATGTTCAGGAAGCATGAGTTGGTGTCTAAAAATGGGCACTTGGTGAACCGAGTGTGTAATGCAAAGAAGTCTAGGGTAAAGGTATCGCAGATGTATAGTTGTTTGGCGAGGGAGAAGAGCGGGGTGGATGAAATGTCATTTACCCAGAAAGACTTGGAGAATGTAGTTGCTGAGAAACAAAGACTTGAGCTAACTGAGGGTGATGCTAATGGAATGATAGAGTACTTCAACAAAATGAGTGCAGACAATCAAAATTTTTTCCATCTTTGTAGGTTTGGTAAAGATGGTGCGTTACAAGATGTTGTTTGGGTAGATGCGAGGTGTAGAGCTGCGTATGAAGAGTTTGGAGATGTTGTCTGTTTTGACAGTACATACTTAACGAACAAATTTCACCTTCCTTATGCTTTGTTTGTCGGTGTGAATCACCACGGGCAGAGTATACTGTTTGGCTGTGCATTGATCTCTCGGGAGACGGCAGAGACCTACGAGTGGGTGCTGAGGACATGGCTACATTGCATGGGAGGGAAAGCTCCTACCTCGATCCTGACGGATCAAGATCCGGCTATTAGGAAAGCTGTGCATATAACCATGAGTGACACTTGTCATAGGTGGTGCATTTGGCACATCCTTCAAAAGTTTTGGAAGTACGTGGGTAAGCATGAGCAATATGATGCTGTGAAGGATGAGTTTGAGAATATCATATACGGTAGTTTAGATGGAGAAGAATTTGTAGATCGTTGGATAGATGCAGTGGAGTATTATGAACTACAAGAAAACAGTTGGCTTGAAGGTAAGTTAATCAGCTTTATGTGATTTGTTTGTTTTTACTGCTTTGGTATATGGTTGTTGGTTGCTAAAGCTTATCTACCCTTAAGCTTTCTTGGTTACTGCACTTGCATTATGGGTGATTGTGCGTGCAACATGGTTGTAGCAATTTTAGTGTTATGGTGTTGCATGCATTTGTTTTATTATGTACCACTGTATGTGCTAGATGCATTTTAATAAATCAGGTGGCATTTATTTTGTACCACTAAGGTGGCAGATGCTATTTTCCATTATTAGCATTACTGATTTTTCTCTTTGGAAATGATGCATGCAGATCTATTTGAGGAAAGGGAGATGTGGATCCCAGCATATTTGAAACATTTGTTCTGGGCGGGGATGAAAACAACACAGCGTTCGGAAAGCTTCAATCATTTTTTCAAAGGTTATGTTGACAAGAACACAACCTTGTCTGAGTTTGTGCTTCGCTACTGTGATGCTATGACCATAAGGGCTGAGGCCGAAAGAGTTGCTGACTCCAATACGACCCGCTACGTGAGGCATTTAAAGACGGTCTTCCCTACGGAGGAGGTGTTCCAGAAGTGCTATACAGACGCGAAATTCAAAGAAGTTCAGCGGGAGTGCACCAAGGTGTTGTATGTGCGATGTCTAGATCAAATTGAAATTGGAGATAGTGTGATTGAGTTTGTAATGGAGGACCGTATTTGGATCAAGCCTAAGAATGCAAAGAAAGAGTCTGTGACAAAGGTTCGGAGATGCTATAGGCTTTTGTTTGATAGAACCACATATGAAGCAACTTGTGACTGTAAACACTTTGAGTGTCATGGAACCATTTGTCGACATATGATTTTGGCCTATGACCTTAGTGGTGTTGGAATTTGTTCCTGAGAAATACATTCTTCGTCGTTGGAGAAAGGATGTTCAACGGAAACACACATGTGTAAAAGTAGCTTATCATGATCCAATTAAAACTAAAGAGGTGAGGCAGTATCACAAACTTATGGGGACTTGTGAACCAATTTGCTCGAAGGCGTCTGCATGTATTGAGGCCGTTCAGGCTGTGGAAGAAATGCTGCAACTCATGGACCCTGAGAGTGGATGAAGTGTTGGCAATGGTTGCCAAAAAGCAGGAAGAGGCAGCTAAGGCCAATGCAGATGATGTTCCTGCAGAAGGTGGTCAAGGTATTGCTGGGACTCCTTCTTCTGTAGCGCAGAACAAGCTACCTCATCCCACAACCACGCCAGTGACAGTTGGTTCCGATCTGCTAAACGCCTCAACTCCAGTAAGTGGTTTCCAATGCAGTTGTGAAGCATCTGCCTCGGGGATGATTAAAGATCCACCATTACCGAAGAAGAAAGCCCACTGTACTACAAATTCGCAGTACCCATCATGCACAGAAAAAAAAGGCAAACAAAAAGCTGCTACGGCCAAAAACGCTACCAAGAAGCAAGCTACCCAAACCCAAACCAGTGTATGGTGTCAACGAATGAATACATGCGGTCGGTTGGAGGTATACAAATGAGGGATTTGGATGGTTTTGTTCGTTACTTTACTGCTGTTAGGGGGTAGAAACTCTGGTGGGGGTGTTAGCTAGTCTACTTGGTTTTACTCCTGGTACAGGAAGGTCCAATCCGAATTAGAGTCATGTAACCTGTATTCATTACCCCAGTGGTACATATTGAACACACATTAATGTACCATTTGTTGAGATAAAGCAGGAGTGCTTGCTAGTGACAATAACATTGCACTAAATTTACGTCGTATTTGACATTTGCAGACACAATTCTTTTGTTACATTATTTTTGTTGTTGCTATTTTTACTGTTTTCTTTTAACTTGCATGGTGATTAGATGAAGTAAGCTACCTACCGTGGATTTAATAGGAGCTTATCTGTTAGTTCAAAGTCAGCATGGAACAACGTACTTAGTTCCAAGTTCATGGCAGAACAGGACATTTAAAATGGTACATTTATAGAGAGTTTATTGTGCCACTAGAATTAAAAGAGTACATAACATTAATAAAACTACATGGAAAGCATCAGAAAGAAAATGCAAGAACAAGCAAGAATCAGTCGTCGTCCAACCCAAAATCATGGTATCCTTCCCACGGATCCACGTATGGGTCATTGTAATCAGGCGCATGTCCGTCCCAAAACTCCCCGGAAACCGGATTGACCTTGTTATCATACCATATCTTCGCCGCATTTAACATATTAACATACCACTGTGGGTAGTCATCATAGTCAAAGGGCTCCCTAGTGATGAGATCCAAGTGTTGCATCTCATCATTGACATTTTCAGCCAACATCTTGCTCCTGAAATACATGCATTGCTCCTCGCTTGGATGGATCATTTCATAAGGATCCTTGTGAGAGAAATTCATCCATTCTACAGTTACATGAACCACGCCTTTGTCATAGTCGGACGTGAAATCATGGCTAAGTAGTAGAAGACAATACTTCTCACCTTCCTTACAGTGGTTGTTGAGCATGTCCTCCACAGTTGCAGCCCAATCATAGTAACTCATAAAGAGTTCCCAAAACCAAAGCCAATGCCTGCAGTACCACGAATATCGCACACAATCTATCATTGTTTCATAGAAATCTTTGAGGTTAACACTAATCGCAATCTTGTGAGCATCCACAAGGTAGTGCATGAAACAATACGCCTCTTTGCAAAAGTCTCCGGGACCTCCTATTTTAAGCGGCGTGAGGAATGGGTACACGGGGTGGAAATCAATCCCTATAATGGGATTTTGAAGCCCACCGCGAGCTATCGTCGCCGATTAGTGCGACCACATAATCTCTTTACCTTTTTTAGGGAGGTAAAAAAGTCTCAAATGACGCCGTTTGCATCGTGATGGCCATTGTTTTTCATGTACTCCAGACGCTTCATAAGTCCCCTTGGGGTCTTATGAGTAGCCACTTTCTTGTCATCACTCAATCCCTTTGCAGCAAACACTCTCTTGCTCCCATTTCTCCCCATTTGTGTTTTATTATTTTTTCTGAAAATATTGTATGCACTAAATTAGCTAGGCATGTATGAACTAGTTCCTCTGCCACCGTTTCTTATAGTGCTATAGCCTCAATAAATTACCCTCCAATTACATTGTGAAATAAAACAATTTATATAATTCCCAGTGGAAGACTAAATGTGCCACTAGTTTAGATAAATAATAAACTAGTACATATAACTATATTTTATCATACAATAGTGTACCACTGCATTCCACTCACTGACCTCACAATAAGTAGTTAATTTTTATGCAAGAGTGTAATTATGAAGTGGTTAGTTGGATAATAACTGCAAAAAATAACTCCCCTACTGCCGTAATTAAAGTCGTAAAGTCAAAAGGGCTAAAAGATTTGATACAAAATTTTATAGTAGTACATTATAATCCCTTTAGTCTCCATATTGTGTAAATTAGTACATAAGCTTTCATATATTATACCAATAGCTGGGTACTTGTGTTTGTTATGACAAGACATCTCTGTCCCCTAGTGCTGATAGCTGAACCCCCTACGAGCTGGGATGGGTAAAAAATAAATGCATACGATTCAATGACTCATGGTGATTGGGCTACGAAAAATCCAGGTTACAGTGGTACAAAATTATGCTATATTGTACCACTTCTATATTAAAGGTGTGAAACATATATTTTTTGTACCACTAAGAACGAAACTGGTAGAAATTGCATGCCCTTTGGGTAGTGACTTAGTGTGCTTAAAATTGTGAAGTACACAAAAAAGCTTGATTATTGCATGGTTTGGAGGTTTATTTAATAGATATTATGGCGTTACAACTTACAAGTCATTGGTGGTTTGGTTGAGGGTGGAGTTACGTCTACCTTAAACCGAAACACATACGAATCGGATTCACTATCTTATCCTTGTATTGAGTTACTTTGTAACACAACATACACTTCCATCAACCCTTGTTTAGGTAGTTATTTAGTTAGTACTCACTCTATGTTTATCGCTTATCGGAATCCAATTTATAGTGCTTCACTATTCTACCATATTCCTAAAAACATGTTTAGGGACTATAAGGTCTCTTAATAATACCATAAACATGTTATATTCACCCTAATCTCAATGACCCTAACCATAACCACTTAAGCAGTGGTACATTTACTGGTCAATATTGTACCATTTGGACGATATGGTGTTTATGGTATAAAAGTTCAGACTTAATGTACCATAATACGGAAATGTCCACTTAATGGTACATATGAAAGGGATAAATGTCCCACTATATGTGCTGTAATGAATGGTAACAGTCAAAATTGAGCTTGATAAATTTAGGGTCCCGGTAAAAATCAGGCGCGAAAGAACAACTTTCCCGCTCTTTGTGGTATTGATCATTTACCCCTATATATATACTTCTTCCTTCTACCATGGTAAATCCCTGTCACACTTGACCCTTAATTTCTAGCTCCGACCATTCCCTTTTCATAACACCATCTCACTTCAGAAGCTTGCAAAGTGGTACTCCACAAACTATGTCAATAATGTCATCAGCCTCTTCGGGGAGTCGTGTAATTCATCGACCCTGTGCATCTGCTGACATCTCATGGATCTCTGCAAAAATCTGCAACTGCTCCGGGGAAGATACTACCCTCGTCGAATTCCGCATTTCGATGTCCGAAATGAATCAGAAAAGGCCGTATTATAAATGTCGGCACTGCGGTTACTGGGAATGGGCTTTTGATTCCGACCTTGTCAAGGACGGACAACCGAACAACATCGGGGGCGTAGTTCGTAGGGTGGAGGTGTTGGAGCACCAGAACATAAACATCGTTAAGATCGGTCTTACAATTTTAATAATTGCAGTGTTATTGTATTTCATATCGTAATTCAAGTAATTTGGGTAGTATGCTAATGCAAATGGAAATGGTGTACCAAGTTATGTAAGAAGAATGAAGTACTCTATCTACTGTTATTGTTTACAAATTAATGTACCAAGTTATTGTACTCTGTTTTTAGTTCATTAAGCAACGAATAACATTGTTCTGTTTTCAACGATTAATATTATTCTGTTATGTTATGAATTTGTTATTTGTAATTTACTTTATCAAATAAATCATACATAAGTCCAAGTGGTATATTAGATATTGACAAATGTACCATTGCTTACGATTAGGAACCTCAGTTTTCCTTTTAATTATCCCCATAAACTATAACACCATTTTCATCTATAAAATTCATTTAAATGATAAATGGTACATTATTCACGAATGTATGTGCCATCTTGGAATTGGGGACATTAAATGGTAGGTTCCTAATTGTGACATAGATTGGCGCGAAACATTTGGAGTTGACGGGTTGCGTTTAATCGTCACCCCATGATCTTATAACTGAGTCCTCCCACTATTTATTCAACTTCCATTCCTCTCCATTTCATTAACCTGTCTTAGAAAATATCTTCCTCCGAGAATCCCTTTCTCTCACTCTATCCTATAGTTCTCGGAAATCAACCTTTCCATAATATTAACGTCTTTATTTTTTCCAAAAATGGTAAAACAAAACAAAGGAAAGCAGCCAATGGAACAATCACAAATAGATCAACCCAAATACTCAGAGCTTGAGTTCCTTAAAATGAAGGAGGATATGTTAACAGAGCAATTAAACCACCATGAATTCATATGCAAGAGCTTGAAGGTTTAGTAGAATGATGTTTCAGCAGCCATTGCTAACATTAACAAGGAAAGGGCACAAACCAATGTTGCATAGAGCACAAGCGTGAACAAAAGTCCACTAAGGTTGGGGGCTAGGAGGAGACCCACCAAGGGAGCGAAGTCGGCAGCTATGAAGAGGGTGTCTGGTGCAGGATGGGAAGCAGCTGGTACTGGGAAGAGGAACCACAGATGCTGGTGGACCAAATGGGCAAGATGGAGCAGCAGTCCAACCGCCGGTGCAGGTCGTGGCACCAGAAAGGCCCAGGCGGAGGCATAGGCAGGTAAGGAAAAGGAGTCCCGAAAGCCCCAAGGATGTTGCTCCATATGCGCCGTACCATGTCCGTGATAGGTGGTCTCCAAAGGTTTCCCACACGAACTTCGGTGCATACGGACACTCGGCTTCAACCATTGAAAAACTCAACTGACGGGTTAACTAATCTACGCCAATTATTTATGTTTTTTTTATATCTGATTTCAATGGTTTACTCTTTTTATGTAATTGGCTTAGTTAGATGTTGTCTGGTTTAATATGTTTGAAGATGAAGACTTTGTTTAATCATGCTGCTTATGAACACTTAATTTAGTTTTGGCTTCTGTTTTTAAAACTCATTCACAGTTTGGAAGGTGTACTGTAATTATATCATATGTGATTAACTGTGATGGAGGTAATTATTTTGAACACTTTGTTTAGTTTTGGCTTTTGTTTTTTTCTCTTAGTTTTATCTATTTTCAATTACGTTATTTGTACCATCTGGAACAAAAACCATGCCTATGCCTTTTTCAAAGTACCATTTGTATAATTAGTGGTGCATATTACCCATTTATTTGAACCTTTAAAAAAATTTGCTACAAGGGTAACTAAATGGTACATTGACCTTTACAAAATGTACCACTAAACTAATGCGCACCCTTTACCCACACGTAGGTTAATTTATTTAAGTAGGTAATATTTGGTGGTACAATAAAACCTATTTAGTTGGTCAATAGTACATATATATACCATGTTCTTCTAGTTAGTGCTTCTTTTGACAAGACAGCTCTGTGGACTAGTCCTGCACCTAGTGATGCTACTGTAGTAGGTTTACCACATGGTAAATGGCACATTCCATTTTGAAAATTACATTTTCCCTCCCACAGAACTGAACTAGTCGAATATTACCTCCAAAGGGGTCCAACCAATTCGCTAGAGTAATTAATTCTCTTCTTTCCTCTCCATCTTCTTCCAACCTTTCTTCAAAACAATGGAAAACTTTCATCCACTTCCTGTTTCATTTGTTCAGGTCGTACCCCAACCACATTTGCCCATAATGTACTTCTAGAAATCTGAGAGGGAATACAACGAAGTGAACTTAAATCTCGTGAATTATTTCAAGACAACTGACCACTTAGTAAGTGGTTCTTTCCACCCTATCCAAAATTTGAGGGCACGACTTCTACAAGGAATGAGCTCCCCAACTCAATTCATGCTTCTCGGAGACGGCAGCCCTATTCTCGGCCATTTACCCCTAGTAGAGGATTTAGTGGGCTGCTACAATGAAGGAGCAGTTGTATTGATATTTTGGCTACTCCAAGCCTTCTATTCCTCTTCTTCGATGCGCACGATACCCTCTGAATTGGCTGAAGCAATTGATTTGGAGCCCGTTCTGAACATACTCGAGGTACCCATATATGCCTTCCCTATGATGTGGCTTAATATATTTGTTGGGTCATACACGGATACGCTCCATGTACTGAAGGTCGTCGACGGACATACCCACATGACGCTCAATATATCGGGTTGCACGATTAAGCCAAAGGTCCACCAAATTCTTCCTATCAGAAAGAGATACCACCATGTCAGTTACACAGGAGAGTATCTGGCCTCAAGCCGTAGCCAGGAGACTACCATACAGATTGGATCGTCGTTCACTTTGTGTTGGAATGCCAGAGGATGCACAAGGCCTTCGTTTGTTCGTAACTTTACAACCCTGCATCAGCATTATAACCCAATTTTACTAATCATATTGGAATTTCGTGTAGGCAACCACTACGCAAAGAACGAGCTGTTGGATGATATCCCGGGTGACTATGAAGTCGAGGCAGCTGGTCCGGACAACAACCCAGGGGGAGTTTTGGTGTTCTGGAGGCCAGTGGCACTTACTGCTAAGTTCTCGTACACATCAACAAGGCCACAGGGAATGGTTTTGGATGTCGTTTTTCAGGTATGTCTTGTATTTGCTTCACATAGTTCGTACAACTTATTTCTTTAAACTAATTACGTTGTTTTTAAGTGTTATTAATAAAAATATTTTTTAATTTGAAGCCGCCACCACCAACATGGACTTACATCCCACCCCATCAGCAACCACAACTGAACAACGGCCCATGCGGCTCAGATGAGGAGCCTGACATAAACAACCACTGGTTCGCATCAGGCTTGGCTTTTGATGGGTCGCACCACGAACAGTTCGGGAAGGACCTTTGATGTGGAGGTGATCCTGGTTGAAGGTGAGGCTGTCTTTGGGTACTAGTTCTTCATCTATTTACTTAACACATATGTTAAGTTGGGTCCTACTTTAAGCAATGTTTTCTCATGTATTTCTTTTGCTGAGACTAAGGTCAAATGTGTGGAACAATCATCTTATGTAGTAGTAATTTAACTTATTTAATACTCATTTCACTTTCTAGACATTTGTGAGTAACAGAACAGAAACGAAATGAAGAGGTTAAAGATGACTAAAGGTAAAATATCATGAAGTACCTAATAAGTGGTACATTCATGTGTGTACATGTCAAAATATTGTACCACTGTCTAAAATAGATACAAATATGTCCCACTAACTACCAAGTAACTACAATAACTTGGAGTAATACCATCAATGGTACAAACAAGACCCCCAAACTGTACCACTGACAATGTCTATTTATAAACAGATTCAAAGGCTAAATATAACCAAGGCTATCTAGAATTATGAGTTAGTTAGTTGAATGCATAATCAATATTGTTCAAAAACCAGTGATCACCTAAAATACTGTTCAAAATAAGCATATCATCAAACAACCAGAATATGCCTCAATGATGATTTTATCCCCGTACTCCACCTATCTCCCCCTTAGTGTCTTTTCTAACTGCGGGAATCATTGACTCTAGGTTATCAACCAAGTCATTAGTTTCGCATTGCAGGTCGTCCATAAATAAGTTCTCCCTTGCACTGTGAATCTTTCCCTACATAGAAAGAGTGCATATGGTGAGGCCACTTCCCAAACAAACAAACAGAGGGAAAAATTGCTTTAATACTACATTTTAAAACTCACCACACTGAACATAGTTGTGAACCTTCCAGCACAAAACTTTATGTAGGCCAACATGTAAACACCACATTAAGCCCTACATATTATCCATGGGAACCATAAGTTCAAATAAAAACTAGACATATTAAAAGTGAAATATTCAAATCCAACAACAAAATTAAACTCACGCATCTGAAGGTCCTGACACCTCAATTGTGCATTTTTTCCAACCACTTATTTCTCCCGTTATCCATTTTGAGTTACTAAGGCTGAAGAGCACATCAACCCCACGTAGCTGCGCATTCGAATAAAAACCAAAATATCAACCTCCTTATCATATGAATTTTATAAGCACGGCCACACATAATGGTAACATTAAACAAGGGAATACATACCAGAATATCAACCTCCGTAGCATGTGTGCTGAAAGGCTCGGGGTAGAAGGAATCTATGATCCACAAATTCCTTGCTTTCAAGTCAATGGCTAGGCACCACCAATGTGCATCCTCAGTCTTTTTTTCCAGGACTTCAAGTACTGGGATAAAAACCTGCTTAATTATTTCATACAAGAGTTGAAACATGAACTTTAAGTTTTCTCATTTCATTAATTAATTGTAGTTCTTGGTCTCCCATTTACCTTTTTAATCCTTTAAAAATTATTGCTTAAAAATAATTTCCCGTATGTCTGCGCGTCCCTCCTTCAGCAGCAATCGGTTCTACAAGACACACAATCATACTCAGATACGCTATCTAGCTATCACAAACCCAATACACAAAAAATTTATAATCACCACCAAACAACCTAATTGCACTTACTGAATAGGTCGGATCAAGCATGATACGCTTGCTTCGGTTGACAAACTCTCTGGTAGCCCAATGCTTTGTGTACAACACACTAGCCATCCGGACGTAGTCTGACCCGACCCTCGCTTTGGGATGCACAACACCATAGTAGTCCCTCTGGTCAACAGTCATCTCATCACAGGATATGAGGACGACACTAGTGCTGGAATACACACATATACAGAAACATAAATATTTTGCAAACCAGTTAAGTGATTATAAATGGAAAAAATTATAACTTCATTACACAGAGATCAGCAACACATACCAAGTAGGGTCTTTCAACTCCTTCCATTGCCGCACGTACAGCAGCATCCTTGCCTCCAGCGTCGTATGCCTACGGGTGTCTGCAGTTCCTGCTATAGCAGTAGGTTTTATAACCCTCTTGTCTACAGTTCCTGAATGTTCATTGCCATTGGACGGAGACATCTCTTCACCTTCAGAATCTGTCTCACTATAACCGGCAGCCACCAACACAGTCGTCCCCCTTGACCCGACCGTTTTCAGAACAAACTCTCCTTCTGCTTGGGGAGACTCTACATCCTCCTATTCTACATCATCTTCAGAACGAGGAGTGTCTCCCTCATTGTCATTGACATCATCCCCTTCATCAGCTTCAGAATTTTTACCCCCTTCACCACCCTGCTCTGCATCCTCATCGTCAACACCCCCCACCAAGGCATCCTTCAGACACTCAGCTGCAACCTTCTGAACATCAACCTCAGTGGTTTTCCCACCATTACCAGCTGCACCGTCGCCACTGCTTTCAAACAAATCATTCTCCTTCCCATATGTTTTATCCACCTCCACCACACCGGAATCAACCACAAATTAAGTTTTTTTATTCCCATTCTTATTCCCATCTGTTTTATCAACCACAGGTTGTTTTTCATCGGTAAAGTTTTCTTAACAGCTCCTTTCACTGGTTGCTTAGTCGCGGCCGACGCGGCCAGACTCTATTTCAACATTTCATTCATATCATATAGCATCGTACCCATTTTCGCATCAATTGCATCCATGAACTTTGGAGTCAAATCAGCCACCACTCTAGAAACCACCTGCATACATAACGAGATTCCATATAAAATTAACTAAGAAAGACATCCAACCAACCATGAATGAAAATATTTTTTAACCGTAAAATGAAACTATTAATAGAAAACTATAGTGGGAAACCAGATCAAGAGCCAAGATCAATTACAACACCAATAACTCCAGGTCTTAAGAAAGCAAAAATAAAAATAATAATAAAAAAAATCAAATAAAGAGAAAGACCTGCTCAGTGATCCCATCCACATCAACAGCACTTGCAGGTGCAGCTGCAGCTACTTTCCGTGGGACTGGACCTTCACGGGGTGCCAGCGGATGGTCCTCACCGTATGCAATATTCAAGCACTGCACAACAAACAAACTTAATCAAATGAAACACAACTACACAATAGACAATGATGTCAACTTGTCAAGTAAGACCACAATGATTTTAACACTTACCAGCGACAGACCATAGTCCCCCGTCTTCTTTTGGTCCTCTTTCACAACTACGCTGATTTCTTCCTGTGACCAGGCCACCAATCTCGGAGTCATTCCCCAAGACTTAGGTACCCGATCCAAATGGTCAATATAAAAGATCTACAACATATGTGCATTAAAGATTATGTCAACAACTAATCATAAACAAGAGAAATCCCTTCACGTGTAACAATCTAAAACATTATTCAAAAACAATTTATAAGATACAGTACTACATTGCTTACCAACGCAAACAATATGCAACCTTCGCTAGTAGAAAAATACAAAAAGGCACCGCTCTATGGCCACCGGTTTTCGAAAACCGGTGGCTTAAAAAATGGGCGGGATAGGCTAATTCACATTGCCACCGGTTCAAACCAACCGCTGGCATAAATGGTAAAGGCCATCGATTTTGAACCCGTGGCAATAATCAATTTAAAAAAAAAAACGCCCCCCTTATAAACCCCAAACCCTACCTTATTTCTCTCATCAGCCGCTCTTTCATTCTCTCTTATGCTATCCCCTCTCCTCTTTCTCTCTCCTGCTCTCCCCTTACCTCTTTCTCTTTCGTAGTCTCTGTTCTCCATGAACAGTTCTCCCCTAGATCTCCTCCTTCTCTTGCTCTTCTCCTTTGTCTCCTTCTCCCTCTTCTCCTTCGTCTCCTTCTCCCTCTTCTCCTTCAATCTCCTAGTCTCCTTCTCTTTCATTTCCACCATCACCAAGACCACCACCGCAATAATAACACCACGAAGACATGCACCGCTAAGACATGCACGAGGTTTGTGTTTAATTAATCGATTTTTCTTGGTTAATTAATCGGATTTTGTTGGGTTTAATTGATTGATTTTTCTGGGTTTAATTAATTGATTTTTCTTGGTTTAATTAATCGGATTTTGTTGGAATATTTTGAGTTTCTTAATCGATTTTAATCAATTTTTGTGAATCCTTGAAAATTATGTCTTCCAACATGAAGATAACCAAATTTCTATCACAAAAATCGAAACTTTATGTTTCCAATCAACTCAAAATGATTAAAACATCAAAGTTTAACACAACATAACATGGAATTTAGTGGTTTTTAAAGTTTCAATCACTTATCACAAATAAAGATTGAATCTTTAACACTTAGGAAGCCTCAAAAATAAAACTTTCACACTAAAAAGCAATTAGTTTGCAATTATGTGAAAATAAATCAACCTTTAAGCATCAAATACTACCAAATAAGTGTGCTTTAAGGGGACATAAAAATGCAGAAAATAATGCAAATAATCAACCATATAATCAACAATTTATGCCATTAATTTCAAGGTTAGAAAAGACTTAAAATTTTTCGTCAAAAACGAAAAACCCCTCGAAAAAGGCATTTCTGGTAAGAATTTGGCTAAAATAAGTGTGCTTTAAGGGGACAAAAACCTTTCCAAAACACGTTTTCCAACCAAAATTCACTAGTCTTGGGCGAAAATCTGGGTTCTAGGCCAAAATCGACATTAAAACGGGATTAAAATAAATAAAACCGAGCTACTAATCTAATTAGCAACTTAAACCAGAAAATTAAGCCAAAATAAACCTTGAAAAAATGATTATAAAAATAAACGAGCGGGGCTCCGATACCGCTGTTGGGGTTTAGTGAGTCCGACTCACCGCAGAAACAAACCCCGACCCGAGGAACCACTCGCAATAATTAAAATCATAACGCATAAATAAATAATCACAAAGAAAAGATAACGAATCTTACCCTCGAAGCGAGCTTCGCCCAAAAACCGGGGCTCTTACTTGAAAGCTACGAGCACGTCAAGCGCCGCGCCTCTGACGGTATCCACCCACAAAAAGGGCGAACACAACTTTAAGGTCCGCTACCTTGGGGTTAGCAAGGTCCGACCAAAACCCGAGTGTTATTAGAGTTTAAGAGTTTTCCCAAAAATATGGAATGCTCTTTCTAACTCCCTTTCAAGTAAAGAATTCTCAAGCCATTCCATGACTATTTATAAGGAAGTATGCCTTGTGAATTTCACTCATCTTTCAATGTGGGACTTTTCACAAAAAGATCCCACATGGAAAGATTGGTGAATTCAACCCTTAGTTAAATAAACAAAGGAATAAGTAACAAGTGTCACATGGTTAGGTGTGGACCACTTTCTCACTTGGTCCCCAAGGCATTTCACATGCAATGTGAACTAACCATGTGTCACCCAACCTTGAGCCCCAAGTTGGGTTCGGTTGGCCCATTTTATTTTGGCCCGTGTCCATGACCCATCAACCCGGGTCCACGGCCATTGCCACATTTGTCGCCACCGTGGCGCGCGCCCACCATGGCGCTGCCACGTGGCACGCTGCCACTTGGTGGCTGCCACTAAGTGGCTGCCAATGTGGCGGCTGCCAACGTGGCTGCTGCCACTTGGCGGCTGCCAACGTGGCAGCCATGTGTGCTGCCACATGGCGTTTTTCCATGTGTGCTGCCACGTGGCATGCTCCTATTGGGCATGCATTCCTAGCCTTTTGCGTGGCTAGGATTTTACTTGTTACTTGATGCATTTTCCCGTCTCGCCAAATCCTAAATTTTGGCTCGACATTTGAGATTCTCAGACGCTCGGTTTCGACGCTCCAAGCTTGAATTTCCGACGTCTAAATGTTTAACACTCGGGCGACGAATTAATTTCTTCCGAATTAATTCGTCGAGTTGGTTCGTATATTTTGCTTGGGTGTGACCCGAAGGGTTCAGTCAAGATTAAGCTGTAATATTAATTATATTAATATTACTGATCGGAAGCGGCCTCCACCCAAGCATTCCGATCACTTGACCTTATTGAATATATTAGCTTTCTAATAATTCTGAACTCGCTATCAGAATAATACACTTGTTCGAAGGACACCATTCCTTTCAAAAAGGGTATAGCTTGAAAATTTGGGAGATTGGATTTGGGAGAATGGTGAAAAGGGTAGCTTGAAAATAGTTGAATTTGTTTGGCCAACTTTTACAGAACTTCAAGTTATGTTTTAAATTAAAATAAAATAAATTTGGGGTTTTTCAAAAAAAAAAAAAAAATGGGTTATGATGTATATTATTATTATTATTTTTTTTTTTTTGACAATAGTAACTAACAAACTAAAAGCAACAAACACACATAAATCAAAAGGACCAAAATAGAATCCTACGCTCGCAAGCCCGTCTGGCTAGCCAATGGGATGGTGTAACCCAGTCCCGAGGCACTTTAGATATCCTACAAACCGAAAGACCCTCAAGAAGCCGACGAACGTCACTCAGCAGCCATAAACAAGAAACATCAACTGGACGATCATGATGAAGTAGTGAAACCATAACTGCACTATCCGTGTAAATAAAAAGACTATGAAACCCTCTGTGAATAGATGCCTGAATGCCCCATAAACAAGCCTGAAGCTCAGCCTGGAGAGCGGACGCAACACGACAAGCCCTTGAACCACCTCCTAAAATCTCATCTGAATCCATTCTACGGAAAATCCATCCTGCTCCCGCCGAACAATCCGCAACAGTCCATGCTCCATCCAAAATCAGGCAAACCTGTATAGAGTCAGTCGAAATACCTCGAAGACAAGTAATAGAACGAGGCACGATAGAGTGAACCCGACCTTGATGATCAGAAAACAACTGAATAGAAAACAGACCAGCCTGATCGCCACGAGAAACCCACTCATCTGCTATAGCAAAGATGGTGGTAGGAGAATAAAGCGCATGCCTAAAGATGAATTGATTCCGCGACAACCAAATAGCCCATAAGAGGCATAAGAAAGAGCGTAAACCCCTCCACTGCTTAAGAAGTCTGAACTCTGTAATCAAATCCGAGAACCATAATTCAAAAGGCCGCCCAGATAAGGAAGTGCCATCCCAGGATGGGAAACTGCAGGTAAGAAGGTGTCGAACAAACGAACAATCCCGAAAAAGATGAGAAGTCGATTCAGGAGCTTCCCTATAGAAAACACAAATGGGATTGACCGGAACACCTCTCGAATATAAGGTAGCTAAAAGAGGCATGGCGTTATGGAGAATCTTCCAACAAAACACCTTTAGTTTTGGAAGAATAGGCATTCCCCACAACTTTTTCCATCAGACGTCCGAAGTAGGCTGACTGACAATATTTTCCATCAAGAGACGGACAAGCAATGTGTAGGCAGACTTAGTGGAGAAGCTGCCATCCTGCGTAAACTTCCAATACACAAAATCATCCATGAGCTGCTAAGGGCGTTCCGCTGATAAAATACGGGACGCCGAAGGTGGATCAAAAAACCTGTGAACCAATGAAGGTTCCCACGCGTAAGAACGCGGATTAATAATAGAAGAAACATGAGTCGGGATATCCGACCCACTAACACCAGACTTAAACTGAACATGCCCCCCCAGGGCCAGTCATCCTCCAAAATACGCACCTTAGAACCTGTGCCAACTTTCCAAGCTACACCCTTGACTACCGTCTGCATTCCTAAAGCCAAACCCTTACTTCCCCAAGATCTACAAACAGTCCTAGCTGGAGGCAAAGCCAAGAGGGAGGGATACTTTGCAGACAAAAGCTTGGAAACAAGCAGTTGGGGATGTTGTCGAAGGCGCCAACAATGGCGAGCTAACAAAGCAGAGTTAAAGTGCTCGATGCTACGAAGACCTAATCCTCCCATACCCTTAGGAAGATGCAACAACGAGGCAGAATGAAAAGCCATTCCTCGCGATGGCTCAGAGGACCGCCACCAAAACCTAGCCAACATACTATCAATGGTGCGGCAGATCGAAGCTGGCACTTTAAAAACAGACAGAATGTGATTAAAAGAAGCCACCAAGACCGAATTAATGATAACCAACTTGGCCGCAGCGGAAAGGTGAGCTGAACCCAAGTCTACAAGACGCTGAGAGATTTTATCAACCATAAATTGAAACTCGGGAATCTTACGTCGTCCTAAATCGACCGGCAAACCCAGATAAGACCCAAAAGACTCCTTGCTTTGTAACTTAAGGCAGCCAGCTAAATAATCACGATAATCAGGGGGAGTATTCGGGCTGAACTTGACAAACGACTTCTGCAAGTTGATCATTTGGCCCGACATATTACAAAAATCAAACAGAATGTTAAGCACATGATCACAAGCATCAGGAGAGACTTGGAAGAACAACAGAGAATCGTCCGCAAAAAAAAGATGAGAAATGGACGGTGCCCCTCTAGAAATTCGAATACCTTGAAAAAGAGATTGATCCTCCGCCCTACGAAGCATAGCAGAGAGAACTTCCATACAAAGAACGAACAAGTAGGAGGATAGAGGATCCCCTTGACGGAGGCTGCATTGGGGATAAAAAGGCGGTGAAGGGTCACCGTTGACTAATACCTGATAGGAGACCGTTGACACACACTGGCGAATGATGTGAATCCAGTATGGTGGAAAACCAAAGGTCTGTAACACCTTAAACAAAAAGTCCCACCCGACTCTATCATAAGCCTTGTTCATATCCAATATTAACGCAGCATAAAAACGCTTACGTGCTTTAGAAGCATTCATGAACGAAAGAACCTCATGAGCCATCAATGCATTATCAGATAATAGTCTACCTGGAACAAAGGCATTCTGAAACCCAGAAATCAAGGAAGGGAGAATTAATCGAAGGCGATTGGTAAGACATTTGGCAATGCACTTATAAAGCACGTTACACAACCCTATAGGACGAAATTGAGACACCATTTCCGGGCATTCAATCTTGGGAAGCAATACCAGAAAAGTGCGATTCCACTCTTTAAGCATATGGCCATGGGCGAAGAAGTATTGAACCGCCAAAACAACAAAGTGACCAACCTCCGACCAATGAGTCTTGAAAAAAGCAGAGGAAAACCCGTCAGGACCAGGAGATTTGTTATCATCAATACTAAATATTGCCTTCTAGACCTCCAAGTGAGAAAATGGAAGTAATAATTGTTGTTGTTCTAAAGAAAGGTAAGGGAGATCAAAATCATGCCACCAAGGAGAGTCGAGAGCAACCGAAGAAGAACCACCAGAGTAAAGATCCTTGTAAAAGGAAAGAATTAAAGACCGAATCCCTACAGGATCAGTAACCCAGATACCCTCATTATTTTGGAGACTGTGAATCACATTTCGACGATGTCGAGACTGCACCGAAGAGAACAAGCGTGAATGAGAATCTCCAATTGCATCCCATTTAACCTTTGCTCGCTGACGCCAGTAGAGAAAGGCTGCTTGAGCTTCCGCAACTTTTTCTTCTCTGGTAGTAAGAAAAAGGCATCTAGAAACAGGAGAATTTAAATTCGATGCAACCCGATCGACAGCCATAGCTAGACTTTTCCAATTAATGCCCCAAGCTTTACGATGGGAAACACACCAGTTCTTCAAAAAGTTCTTCAAAAAGTCCCTGATCACTGAAAGACGTCGAGATAAGGTAAACATGGGAGAACCAGCAAAAAATTGTGCCATTATTGCCTAAACAAACGTAAAAATGTCCCGTGCCTTTAAACACCAGTTTTCCACTTTATAAGGCTTAGCACCAATACTGCTTGATTCGGAATCCGATAAAATAATGGCTGCATGGTCCGAGAGGAGTATAGGTTGATGGACAACCTTGGCATGAGGATGGGTTTTGATCCAAGAACGAGAAGCATAAGCTTTATCCAAACGCTCAAAAATAGGATCTGAATCCATTCTATTGTTAGTTCAAGTAAAACGTGGTCCAGTAAAAGGAATACCAACCAAATCCATCTCTAAACGCCAATTAATAAAATCCAGTCTACCAGGGATTAAATCCCTACCCCCAATTTTATCAGAAACAAATTCGACTTGATTGAAATTCCCTATCAACAGCACACTAGGGAGAGAATCAAGAATCTCAGAGATCTACTACGTGCGGCGAACCATACACAAACCCTACATATTTTGTATCATTCCCCAAAAGCAATTTACAGAGTACAACGTTTGAGGAAATATAAACAGGCTCTAAACGAGCAAACCAAAAGACAACCAACCCGCCACGAAAACCTATAGCATCCATACCACAACTGCCCAAAATAGGTAGGGAGGCTAATTTCTGTACTACACTAGGAAAAAGAAGCATAGTTTCCATAAGAAACCCGATATCTACACCAAAAGTGCGGACTAAAGAGCACACATAAGGAATTTTAGGGGAGTTCGCTTGTCCTAACCCCCTACAATTCCATGCCATAATCTTCATGGATAACCGGCTGGCGCTTTAGGGGAGGCCACCAACCCACAAAAGAAGAATTCTGAGAATCTAAAGCTAGAGAACCCTTGCGTTTCTTGCAAGGAAGAAGACAAGGGAAGCAACCCTGCTGATGAGAAGCCCGAAAAACTAGAAGAGTAAATGCTGGTGGTTCAATTGTAGAGCTCCTTTTTTTTGCAGGACATTTGTTCCTATCCCAAATACTGAAATTTCCACGGCCTTTTCCATTCAAACGTGATGACTGAAACTTTTTTATCGGACGCCTCTGTTTCGCTGACCCGCGCTCCAGAGATGGAGAATTAGTCGCTGACTGTTTGGGAGGAGGTTTTGGTTGTTTGAGGGGATATGATTTTTGTGAGGAGAAGGGCCCATTAACAAAGTTGGAATATTTTATCCCAAAGAACAAAGGAGATCGAGCCACTGGAGGAAAATTTCTGAAGGGTGAGGGGTGAAAGGTAGACTTATAAAGGGAATTGGGTATTATTTGAATCTTTTTCTTCCCATTAGGTATATTAGCACTGGAAAAAGTAGATTGGGTTGGTGTGTGGCTAGGATATTTAGGGGCAAGTTTAATATGTGTTGAATCAGAGTGCAATTTTTGCTTTTTTGCCAGCGAGGGGTGTGGACTAGCAAACATAAGGGGCCTTTTATTTAGTTGGCGTCTCCGAGGTTGGGGTGGGATGATGGGTTTAAGAGAACTTTGTAGATTCACTCTAGTTGTCCTGAATTTTTCAGTTTTTCTCAGGCCTATGTTCGAATTGGACAGATTATGGTCGAGATCAACATCTGACTTACACACCCCATTCTGTTCAGCCATAAAAGATGCAGGCATATAAGGAGGCAAAAAACAAGCATTCTTCTTATGACCAACTCTATTGCACCAAGTTCAGAGGTACCTCGTCAAGATGTACCCATATAGCAGCCTCGTCAATACGTATGTCACTTATTGAGTCACCTGGGGTCCAAGGCTTGAAGACCAGAAGAGCAGCTTGGTATGCCATGGAGCCCTGCTCTAAAATAGCGTCTCTGTCACGGGCATCTGCACAGAGAAACAAGAAAACTTTTTTGAACTTCTGGACCTTTATTTCCCCAAATTTAATCCACTGGTTTGATACCCAGTCTTGGATTCGATGCTCTGAAAACTGACGATAGTCAACGAATCGTCCGAGGACTAGATGAAGGTGGAATCCGGAGTTTTGGGATTTAGAATCAGATGAATTCTGACTTGAGGTGTCGGGAAATTGGAATTCCATCATTTTAATTAAAAAGGGGAAAGATGAAATTAGGGAAATCGAAACCGTAAAACTAGAGTACCGAACAGAGAAAGAAAATTAAAAACTACTGTAGAACTTGGGCCTACGAAACCCCTGAACTTGATTGAAAAAGCTTACTTTAATTGCTGAAATTGGGGAAGGTGGAATTGATTTCGGTGGTGAAGGTTGAAGGAGCTCTAGATTCCTAGAGAGAGAAGCTCTCTTTAGAGAGAGAAAACTAACAGAGATCTGGAGTACACTTATTATTATTATTATTATTATTATTATTATTATTATTATTATTAGATTATGATTTGCTTTTAAGGTGGAAAATTGGTATATTTCTTGTTTAATTAATAGTGGATATATAAGTATCATTAATAGGGTAATTTGCTTGGATAAGTAATTGTTATTTTGATTATGTAATGTGTATTATCAAAACTGGGATCATTTTAGTTGATATGTAAATATACAAATTGTTGTAACAAAAATAAAATAAAAAAACAAATAATTAATCATGTCTTTTTTATTAGATATGTTGTCAAATACAAATTTTTATTTTGCGTGTCTTTAAGTTATCACTACTGCAATCTGCTTTATTTCTTGACACTATTACCTCGATAGTCGATACTATAGAGTGCAAAAAATGATCACTCCTACATATAGTTGTGCTTTATGTGAAAAAAAAGAAGCCCCTTCTTTTTAAAGTTTATTTGTCCGATAAGCCGACTTACGCAATTTGATCAGCTGAAATTACTCTTGGTGAACTTGCCACTTGCATCTATCGTTATTATATTATACAACGATAATTTGTACTACCTCCGTTTTTTATTAGGTGACACGTTTTAACTTTTGCACTATTCATACACCTTCCTTTGACCATATTTTGTGATTTATATGTAAGGAAAAATACAGTCAGCTGGAATTTTGTTAGATTCATTACAATGTATATTTTTAAAATATCAACTTTTTATAATTTTTGTTTAGCGGTAGTTAAAGATATTAACGATTTAATTTGTGCATTAGTAAACGTGACTAAAGAAACGTGTCAACTAAAAAAAAGCGGAGGAAGTATTTTTTTAGTATCTTTGATAGCGATTAAAACCTCTCTTGTACAATATTTGGTTGAGCATTAGTTATTTAGATTGTGGGTTTTCTGCTCATTCTGTTGATATCTCTTAGTTATGCTTGTGTGATTGAGTTGGCAAACTAACTACCCTAGTTGCTTATGTTTTTAAAATTATAAGAAGTCGATCTGCATTATTCAACGTGTGTTGAATGTTGAGTACTCTGTTTGTGTCTTGCATATGTATTCTCTTGCGGTTGTGACACTAGCTCTTTGCACAATGGATTGTCATTCTTCCCTTACAGACATTCATATCTGACTGCATATAGTGTTGTACAAGTTTGATGAACCTTACCTCTAAGGATATTTTAATTTTATTTTTTAGCTTGGATAATTTTGTGATCAGTTTATTAATTGATCATCCTGTAGGATATTTTATGCACTAATGTTATATAATATCATGATTTAGCTGCTATTTTTCTTGCAGCTGTTGGTTATATTTCTGAACTTATAGACTGACACTCCTAGTCAGAAGCTGCGGAGTACTCCGTATTCAGGTTCCTGATTTTCTGAACTGCAATGCAGCGGGAAGCCAAAACTGAACAATAATGTTAGCATTGAAAGGAAGTTACACCTACCTTACACCATTATCTTCAACCTTCCCTTTGGTTTCATCCATCTTACGAACCTACCGTAAACCTAACTACACCTCATTTCATCGCTTCAATTTGGTTGCATCATCTTCTTCTTCTGTCACTCCAATTTCTACCTCACCCGTTTCCATTTCTCACAAACCCCAAATTCCTCTCTTTCTAAGACCACCCATCTACTCTACAACTCTACTTGACCTCCATAACTTCATTACTTGGGCTAAAACCCTTGCTTTTTCAATTGGGTCCACCTTTGCTGAAATTGACAATGGCCCAGATTCTACTTTGTTGGTTAGAGAGCTCAATTGGTTCCTTGATGATGCCATTGAGGACCCTTTAATTGTTTCCCAACTGGGTGTTTCTCAAATTGGCAGATTATGGTCAAAATCGGTGGGTTTGAGGGCAAGTTTGGATGACATGTACAAGCTTTGGAGGGGGAGGATTGAGGAGAGAAGGCCTTTTCAGTATATTGTTGGGTGTGAGCATTGGAGGGATTTAGTGTTGAGTGTTGAAGAAGGGGTATTGATTCCGAGGCCGGAGACGGGGAAGATTGTTCACTTGGTTGAGAAAGTTATGGGGGGTGAATTTGAGGATTTGAAGGATGGGGTTTGGGCTGATTTGGGGACTGGTTCTGGTGCTCTTGCGATTGCAATTTCGAGGGTTTTGGGTAAGAATGGAAAGGTGATTGCTACTGATTTGAGTCCGGTTGCAGTGGCTGTTGCAAGTTATAATGTGGAGAGGTATGGTTTACAGGTTAGTATTGGAGCTTAATTTCTTGTTATATTTTACAGCATTGGATGAATAGTTCATTGTTTATGATCGAATCGATTAGTAGATGTTCACATGTTTGCTATGATTTTGTTGGTTTTGATGTTTGGTAGAATTTTATTTATTAATGTAAACCATTGTTATATATGATTATGGGTATAGTATGTCATCTTGTTCAATCATGTTGTTAATTTGATTAAATTTTTGATTGAGTTGTGCATTAGGATCTTATAAAGGTAGAACAAGGATCTTGGTTTGAGCCTCTTAAGGAATTTGAAGGACAACTTGCTGGTGTTGTTAGTAATCCACCTTATATACCAAGTGAAGATATTAGTGGGCTACAAGCTGAAGTTGGCAGGCATGAACCTATTCTTGCATTGGATGGTGGTGAGAAAGGCATGGATGATCTTTTTCATCTTTCCACGAGAATGTCTATAATGCTGAAGCCTGGTGGTTTCTTCGTTGTTGAGGTGCTTCTCTCTTTACCACTATAATCCTGCTTTTGTTTAGGCGTGAATGCAATTTAGGCTATTTTATACGTCATACTTACTAGCCTCTCTTTTGGTTATTGCTATTCTGCCTTAATTCAAAATTCTTAAGAAAAATTGTACAACATTGAAGATATTTGTTTTAAGGCTGTAAAAAACTGACGCGTCACAATAACCCAACATGAACCCGACACGAAATTAGCAGGTTTGGGTCAAGAATTCTCGACCCTTTTACATAATTGGGTCGACATGAACATGACACGAAATTAAACGGGCTAGGTTTGGGTTGAAAATTTCAACCCAAAACCTACACGTATAACCCGATTATATACATGGGTTGAACGATAACTCGTCAATCCAAACCCTACATGCTTAATCTATTAATTAAGTAGTAAAAAAAAACTGAATTTTTAATTCAAAACTTATTATTTTGTAAATTACCTTAACTCCATTTATACATTTTGGTAATTTTTTGGCAGTTAATTTAGCAAAAAGCTTTAAACCCTTGTGGTATCTTTTTCTAAAACACTAGCTTTAAACTATTGTTGTATCTTTAATGAATTAATGATGTAAGACTTTTTTTATTTTTGAATTGAATATTAATTAGTTTATTACAATACGTGGGTAAAAGGTTACACGGGTAACCCGTTTAATAAACGAGATAGGTTTAGGTCAAGGGTTTTCAACCCGTTTAATAAATGGGTTAGGTTTGGGTCAAGGGTTTTTCAACCTGTTTAATATCGACACGAACCCAACACGACCCGTTTGACAACCCTAATTTGTTTCCCATTCATTATCGACACTCATGGCTGGTTTGATGTTAGGTGATAAATGGAGTGAATAGTATTAAATTTGAGGGTAAATTTAGTGAATTGCTATTTGCCACAATGAAATTACTCAAGCTAGTATTAAAAGACTTTCATGCCCCTTATAATTTTGAAAATTACATAACAATCCAACCTTTTTTAACTACTAACTTTGTCTTAGCTCCACCTTCACCATTAGCTCCACCACCCATACCACAACTCAGCTTTAATTGGTCCACCACCACGACTCCACCTTTACGGTCCACCACAACTCCACCTTTACGGTCCACCACAACTCCACCTTGACTAGTCCACCACGACTCCACCTTGACCATCATACACCACGACACCACCTTGAATGGTCCATCACCCACGACATATAAAAATAAGTCGACGACGGTCGACGTTCATATCGAAGGCACTTGGTGGGGACGACAAACCGTCAACGCCGTCGAGTCAGGTTTATGTCGGACTTTTTTTTTTTCAATTTTCGTTGTACCCGGTCGCATGTTATATGCGACTATACCATGGTGTTCGCATGCTATATGCGACTACACCGTGGTATAGTCGCATATAGCATGCGACTACACCATGGTATAGTCGAGTGCTATATGCAACTCAACCGTGGCGTAGTCGCACGCTATATGCGACTCCACCACGGTGTAATCGCATGCTATTTGCGACTATGCTGTGGTGGAGTCGCATATATCACGCGACAATGTGAATAAAATTACCGACGAATTGGCCGGCGTTTTCCCCACGTTTCCCGGCAAACGAACCCCCTTCCCACGCCGTGATTCCATTGTTGTTAGTCTCTTCCTTTTCCGATTGATTTGGTATGATAAGTGGTTGATTTGGTGTGATAGATAGTGAGAAAATTGGATGATTCAGGCGACCTTAGGGTGGTGGTGGTGTTTATCGTGATGGTGATTTCGGCGACCTTAGGGTGGTTGTGGTGATGGTGTTTAGGGTGATGGTGGTGGAAGGAGTATGGTTGGTGAGAAAAATTGAATGATGTAAAACATGGAATTTATAAGGGTAGATGAGTCATTTAATACCGCGCCTTAAGTAATTCTATTGTGGCATTTAGTAACCCCCTAAATTTACTAGGTAAACAACTACACCTTCATTATATCTAGAATTGATGATGAAAAAAAATCCCATATACTTGGCATTTACAAGAGACATTATAAAATTATTCTTGCGAAGTTAAATACAAATTCATTGCCATATCTCCATTTATTACATTATACGGTTAGGGTCGGTTATATTAATCTTATAGGCAACTGATTTTGAATGTTAAATCTATTTAAGGCTGTGTCTAATTATTGTCATGAAATTAGTTTGAATCACCCATTCGCTCAACACTTTTTTTTTTTTGAGGAAAACGCATTGAGCATATTTATTAATCAAGGGACATTAAGTCCGAGAGTACATAGGGGGCAATCTCAGCGGGGCAATGATTGACCCAAACTTGTTCTACCCCAAAGGGCACAAGCCTAGCTAAGTGATGAGCAACAAAGTTTCCATCACGTTTTACATGAGACCAAGAGAACGAATTAAAAACACCACTCAGAGACAATATATCTTCGATCACACCATCAAGATCTGAAAAGTAGATGGCTGCCTTTGATAACCTGTTGATAAGGACTTGGCAATCAGATTCAATCACAACATCAGCAAACCCATATGACTTGGCAAGCTTGACAGCCATGACTAGAGCCTTTGCTTCAGCTACTTCAGGAGGCCATCTAGCACGCACCTTTCGGACAGCAGTCAGCAAAACTTCCCCCTTGCTATCCCGAGCCACAACTCCCATGCCTACCCACCCCTCCTCCACCAGACTCGCATCACAATTTAGCTTCACAAGACCTGCTGCTGGTGCAACCCATTTGTTCGAGCTGCTTCTGGCCTTTGGTTTTGCTGTCCCATAGATCTTCTTGCTATACATACCATACTCATCAACCAATCTTTTCATTCTCTCAAGAAGGATGCTGTTCGGTGTAACTAGGCCATCAAAAATCTTCCTGTTCCTCTCTGACCATATAATCCATGCCAAGTATACTGCTCTTTGAACAAGTCGTGCATTCATTCCCTTCCACCTTACTAGCATATCACATAAGCTTCCACTTCTGTCCATCAACAAGGGATTACAGCCGCTCTCTTCCCACAGTTCTTGGACTCGAACGCAATCGAAGATCGCATGATTTCTTGTCTCATCTTCGTGCCCACACCACGGACAGTCAGCTACATCAATAAGATGTCTTTGCTTGAGCAGTGACTTTGTTGGTAAACTGCCATTACACCAGAAGAAGTGCCTTACCTTCGGGGAAGCTTCCATGTTCCAAATTTCCACCCAAGCTTGGTGAAAATTATCGAAATTACACCCCTTTCCAAGCATATATGCCGTTTTCGTGGAGTATAATCCGTCTTTAGAAAATGCCCAAGTAAGCATATCCGGCGCTCTCAAGCTCAACGGGATAGACAAAATACAATTCTGGTCACGTTCATTAAATAAAGTTGCTAACACATCCTCCCTCCATTCCATTCTCTGCAAGTCAATTAATTCACAAACCTGAGAAAAGCCATCTACTCTAGGACTGGTAATAAACCGTCCCTCTTCGTCTGCTACCCATGGATCACTCCAGATGTTGACCTTGGCACCATTGCCAACACGCCAAATGACTCCCTCCTTCACCAGCGCTTTGCTACTCCATACACTTCTCCAAGAATAGCTCCCTCCAAACCCCAAGTATGATTCAAGAAACGATGTTTTTGGGTAGTACTTAGCCTTCATGACTTTGCTCAAGAGCGAGTCTTCGTTGTGAACTAGTCTCCAAGCTTGCTTTCCTAAGAGTGCGTCGTTGAAAATCTCAAGGTCCTTGAACCCCATACCACCCAAGCATTTCGGAGTACAAAGAGAATCCCACGACTTCCAATTCACCTTTCGTTGGGCTCCTTTTTGCCCCCAAAAAAATCGAGCCATCACTGATCGGATGCTGTGAATCACAGATTTGGGAAATTTATATACTCCCATAAGATAAGTCGGGTTGGCTTGTATTACTGACTTAAGGAGTACTTCTTTCCCGGCTCTTGAAAGCAACTTTTCCTTCCAACCCTGAAACTTCTTCCAGATTATGTCCGTTAGAGCTGTAAAAATGGCTTTTTTCGATCTTCCGGCAACCGTTGGAATCCCTAAATACTTCTCATGCCTGTCCACTTGTCTCATGTTCAAAACCCCCATTAGAACCCCCTTTTGCTCGATACTGACACCTTTGCTAAAAGAAACCTTCGATTTTTCATAATTAATTTTTTGCCCTGATGCTACTTCATATTTGTTGAGAATATCAACTATAACTTCGCATTCTCGTCGGTTGGCTCTAGCAAATAAAAGGCTATCATCTACAAACAAAAGATGAGAAATAACAGGCCCACTTTTGCTAGCACGAGCACCATGTATCTCCTTCTCAATTACCTTATTAGTAAGCATGTGAGAAAATACCAACAGATAGGGAGAAAGAGGATCCCCCCGACGCAGCCCCCGGGTAGGGCTCACCGAACCACAAACTCTTCCATTAATAATAAAAGAGTAAGAAACAGTCGTCACACAGTCCATAACCAAATTCACCCATCTACCATCAAAACCCATAGTAAGGAGAAGTTTCCGCAAAAAACCCCACTCCACCCGATCATATGTCTTGCTCATATCAAGTTTTAGCGCAATAGTACCTCTCCTACTCCGACTCCTCTGTTTCATAGTATGGAAGATTTCCAGTGCAATGAGGGCGTTATCTGTTATTAACCTTCCCGGCACAAATGCACTCTGACTTTCAGAAACAACCTCCGGAAGAATATGCTTCAAGCGTAACACAATAGCCTTTGATACTAACTTATACAAAACATTACATAAGCTAATAGGCCGAAACTCAGACATAATTGAGGGAGAGTTAACTTTTGGGATCAGGGCAATATTAGTATTGTTTACAGGGCTCGAGGAAATCATGCCATGTAAAATACTACTAACAAAAGAAAAAACATCATCACCTACTATATGCCAAAATTTCTGGTAAAAGATAGCATGCATACCATCCGGGCCGCCCGGAGCTTTGCATGGGTGCATGTGTTGGAGAGCCGAGAAGATTTTATCTTTGGTGTAGGGGCGAGCTAACTCCATAT